GATTGTCCTGTGGTGTGAGGTGTGTTAAGAGTGACTGAAATGCCACCCAAACCACCCAATGCGAGCCGGCCAATTGCTCCATTATTGCCTGTAGTAAAAACAGCCTTGGGCTATGTCAGTTAGCATTTACTACACTCTTCCTTTAGCGGCCACATCTCAATGCTTCACTTTGTCAGTGGATCCAGGAAGTTGAACCAATTGCATAATTCTCCATATATTGAGTTATTCCCTGGTATCTCCATCCAGCCCCCTATGTAAAGAGTGAAAACTGTTGTTTACTTTTGAATGAATTATTTATCAGGAAGCCAATGCAATGTGGCAAGACCTAGTCTTCACTCTCTCACTTTCATCTCCACCACAGACAATATGAAAGCTGTGTACCAGCGGGCCCAAGCTCACGCCGCATTATGTAACGAAGACGAGGCCCACAGGGATTTCAATATGGTCATGCAACTGGATCCCAGATTCAAACCCATCGTCAAACAGGAGATTAAGAAGATGGGTGAGAACATAAGAGTGAAGTGTGTCAATGAAAACAAAAACTACTGGACAAGCACTCAGGAGAAGTGGGAAAAGAAGGCGCAGACCAAGAGAGGAAAGAAGATGAAGAAAGGAGTGACATGGGCGGATGAGAGTAAAATGTTGGGAAGGAACGATGAAGGACAACTGGCAAGATCTGGCTGCGGTGACAAATCAGAGGAGAGCTGCAGTGTCAAAGCAGGTAATAAAGATGAAGGACAGGATGAGAAGAAAAACTGCGAGAACAAAAAGGACGAGAGATTTCTGAACCTGAAAGAAGCAAAAGAAAAACCTGCGGCTGTAGGTAAAGACAGGTATTCAGTCCAAAGCAATGTGCTGGGAGATAGTACACAGAGATCACAGACAGATAGCGGGGCCACTGAAACTCTACTGACCAATGACATTACAAAGAAAAATGATGGCCAGGATGAGATCACAGATGAAAAACAAGAATCTCGTGCAAAGCCAGACAAAGATGCAAGCAGTGGAGCATCAAGGGAAGAAAGACTGACGGACACGACTGGACATGATGAAACAGAGGAAAGCTACTGAATTTAAGATGGAGAAGACAAATGTTGAGGAACCAACAGGAGCATCACCTGCAAAACCTGAGAAATTCACCAAAAATATTAAATGCAAACAGAAAAAGAAACAGATGAAATGCCATCATCTGAAAAAAAATACAAACCAGACAAGGTGTATAACAAATAAAAATTTATTTCTTTGTACACAATGAGTAGAAAGCAGCCAGTAACTCGTTCATTTTTAAAACGCCTTCCTTTCACATTTTGTACAGATTAAAAACACGAAAAACAAAAAACTAAGACATTAATTATGGTGTTAATAATTAAAAATAAAACTGCATTGCACATGAAAATCAAAACATAAAAAAAACACAACGCATATATTGCAGGGACACAAATAAAACGTAGTATTTGTATTCAGGTCATTTGACCTGAAAACAACACAACATGTCATGGTGTGTAATGGCGATGCCACAGGTTCAGAGGTTAAACCAGTAAATGCCCAGTTGTGTAGTTCAATATTACAAACAAGCCTGCAAAGCCAGAGACATATTGGGGTCGTGACACAAAGGTCTGCTACATACAAACAAAAATAATGAGTGTATTTGTTAATGAGGCAGATGGCTAAATATAGCTCAGGCAGCCCTTAGCAATGCTGTCAAATCCACAAAATATTTCCTTCTGTAATTTAACACATCCCACAAATTCAGCACATCTCATTTTCTAAAAGTAGACAAGGGAGCAATTATGAGTTAAAAAGATCATATTAAGGAATAATAGATATACATACAGTATATGCCAGAATTGAGAATTATTATATTTTGCAAATGGTATGCATATAGAAGAATTTCCATGTATTACATAATGCTACATGATTTGCTACCATGTTGAAGCTCTACATATCATAATTTGCAAAAATGTTTAATAAATCATCTCCCTTTCTACAGGCTTAAAAGTCATTTTCTTAATCAGCATTTTGTCTTGCTTTCTATTAAAAATATCTAAATATACTTAAAACATGATTCATTTATTTGAAAAACAATTTTGTATGATTTTATTACTTCTTTTCAGATAATATATTGAATCGTTTTTTCAAATTTCTTCACATTTTAGCCATTTTACTTAAGATGTAAAATATGCTTTCAGATAAGATTGGGTAAAAAAAATGAACTTAATTGTAAAGTATAGGTCTATCTCTGAAAACAAGTCATAATATTAAATTTACTAAATGTATCTTGTTTTAAGGATGTTTGGATATTGTACTGGGAAAAAAGTGTTGAAATTACTTCAGACAATCCACACATTCACAGTCCTGAATTAGTTGAGACTGTTTGGCATGGAATAGAGAGGGAGCTGGAGAAAGAAACCGAATCGCAATGCGCATACTTCAATGTGTGCGTTTGTATGTGTGAGGTGCTTTTGTCTCCGAAGAAGCACTGGAATGATAAATGGGTGTCACTGTGGATAGAACACCAGATGTTGACCTTAATGAGGAGCCATGCAAGTTAAACAAAGGCAGGCATATGGGGCGGAGGGGACCCGAGTTTCCCTCTCTCTCTCTTCCTCCACATGCTTATTTGTATCTCCTCCATTATGAAGTCACCCCACCTTTCTAGAGACCAACCTGCAGCGCCGTGTCCTTGGGGACCTTTCCTTAGCAACTGCATCAAAACAAACAGACAGCTCACCACTGTGATGTAAAATGAGATCACAATGCGTGCGAAAGAAAGCCGGCGATGCCACAGTGAGATTCAAGCAAAAAACCTACAGTGCAACAGGGGTCACTTTGTGTTTTTATGGAGAAGGGGAGAGCGAGGAATCGCTATACTTCCAACATGCTTGCCAAAACAAATGGAGAACATCTCTTGCTCTCTCAGCTGCAATAACCTCATTCCTGTTTGCAGGGGCTGCAGTGCCACAACCCATCACCGTGAATATTTACACACTTTTCTCTTTCCCATTTGCAGTCTTTCCTTCACGCCGTATCTCTTCCCGCTCACTATCTTTTTCTCTTTTCTAGTCACTACACCCCCAGCATCTTCTCTGCTCATATAAATCTGACACCCCACAGTAAATCACTCCACAAAAAAAGCCTTTTTTCTCTGTTTACAAAGAGCGTGATCCATTTGCCGTCCTCCTCCCTCGGCATAATGTAAAATAATCCTTCCACACACTCACTTTCATTTTCTTCCTTAGATTTTGGAAATGCTGAGATCTGGAGAACAGCATTTGGTAAACAAAATACTTACATCAGGAAGACGACAATAAGACAGTGAGATGTAAGGCTGGTATTCTTTAGAAAAAAAAATAAGTGGGAGCTTTGAAGTCTTAAGGCATAATAAGAGCTATGCTGGGTTTAAAATGAGTGTAAAAGACCTTCCCAAGCCAAAGTGAAAAGGGCCGAACCTGGCATTGACTCGTCTCCTTGGGTATCTACTTTCTTGTTCATGCCACGCTGGACAGCTGTAATTTAACGGCGAGTGCTCTGACAACAAAACAACACTACAAATCTTCATTCCTGAAAGACCTTTTCCGTTGTGACTGGAAAACCAGCAGCTGAGAAATCTGCTCATCTCCTCAATAGATCCTTTCTGTACGAGTGGCTACACTGCAAAAAAAATATATTTATTAATCAAGGTTTTGTCATGTTATCCAAAGAAATATCTAAACATCCTTAAAAACAAGATACATTTATCTGAGAAGCAATTTTAGGATTAGATGTGATCTCAGTCAATACATTTTTAATGAAGTTTTTCCCTCCTTGATTTAAGCATAAATCTCACTACATTTAGTTAGAAATGGTTTGGGTTCAATAAATGTTGTGCTCAATTGTCAACATTCATTGCATAATGTCTGTTACCACAGAAAATAATTTAAACTCACTTCAGTTTTTAAAAACAAAACAGGCATATTTTTAAATAAAGATTTTTTTTTTTTTGCCAGTTTAATTAGGAAAAATAAGCTGTTCTCTGTTACATAATACTCTCTCATAATACACTCTCGCTTTGAGGAGTTTGGAGTTGGTAAGATGTTTTCGATGTTTTTTTTAAAGACGTCTCTTATCCTCACCATGGCTGCATTTATTTAAAAAACAGTAACTGTAAAATATTATTACAAACTAACATAACTGTTTATTTAAAAATGTATTTATTCCTGTGTTGACAACACTGAATTTTCAGCAGCTATTACTCCAGTCTTCATTGTCACATGATCCTTCAGAAATCATTCTAATATGCATATTTAGTGTTCAAGACACGTTTCTTATTATCAGTTCTGTTTAATAATTATTATTAAACATTGGTGCTGTTTAATAATTAGTTGATTATTTGATGAACAGAAATTCCAAAAGAAAAAAATATCTTCCTGGCCCAAACATTTGAATGTTATTTGAAAGATGTTTATATATTTGTGATTAAAACAAGGCAAAAATACTGATCAAGAAAATTATTTTTGCAGTGTGTGTCTGTGTATTTTCTCTTTCATTTATTATTTGAAAGAGAGAAAGAATATCAGGGCAGGAGCATAATGCTCATGGGCACTTTGGCATATAAATAAATGAAGACGTGTCGTCCTTACAGTGTAAATAAGCTTGCTGTGTGTCCCGACAGTTCAGGGGAATCTGCTCTTTTCTGCTTCACAGAACAAGGGCCACGCATTGCCAAGCATGACTTACCATCGGTATATGTGTATATTTGTATTTATGTGCATGAGTGAGTCACAGAAAATAGTAAACCATTTTCAAAATGGAAAAAAAAAAACTTACACACAGAGAGGTTGCTGGCACAGGGATACCCAAGGTGAGATCCCACTTCTGCATGGTGTAAGTCAGGGTTCCTCAAATCTTGCCCTGGAGGGCCACTGCGCTGCGGTGTTTAGCTCCAACCCTGATCAAACTCACCTACCTGTGATTTTCTAATGATCCTGAAGAAATTGATTAGTATGCTCAGATGTGTTTGATTAGGGTTAGAGCTAAACTCTGCAGGAAAGTGGATCTCGTGGGCCAGATTTGAGGATCCCTGGTGTAAGTCCTGTTTGTGGTTCTTGTGCTGTACTGACGAAGCCACACACTTTGCATTACGACACGGATTAGCACAGTGTCCGGATCAGTGCAGGCCTTTGGCACCATGTAAACCTTAGTTTGTTTAGTTAGCACTCAGATATCCCACAGCTCTTTGGGATTGGCAAATGGCCGCAGGCTGAGAAGGTTGTCTTGAAACTCTTCTCGCTGCCGCCTCGTCTGTCCATGGATTCGCCAGCCCTGCATTCTCAAGACCCTGCCCACAATAAGATGAGCAATACGACGCCTGAAAATTTTAAGAAGGCTGTTATCATCTAGACAGATCAATAGAAAGCTGAAACATCAAATGCAAAGATCAAAAAAGTTTTCAAATGTAGTTCCCTTTAACACACTGAATAGCAGGTAGTTTTAGTTGAGTTTTAAGTACTGCATCTGCATCGTGTACTAAAATAAAACATCTTTTAAGGAAATGGTTCAGCCAAAAATAAACCCGTATGACTTTCTTTGCTTCTGAAGACTGTCAGGAACAGACTGGTAGTTGTTTTTGCTGAATGTCTTACTGATTTAGCTTTCAAATGCTTCATGCAAGATTTGAAATGAATTAGGTCCAACATCATTGGTTCCTAAGTGTATTGTAGCCAAAGGAGATGTGTTTGAAAGAGAAATTAATTGAATTGAGAATTTAGCAACTTTTGGTTTTCTGGTTTTCACTCAAATCATATCATACAGCTTCAGAAGACTTTTAATACAGTGCATGAGTCATACGGGCCATGTTTGCAGTACAATTCTAGTGCTTTTTATAGTAGTATAAATCACCATTCACTTACAGATTCTGCTAAACTTCTACCGTGTTTCACGATAGAAATGACACAAGGTGAAATACTCCTTATATGTAAGCTTATATATTTCCAAAATAATGAAACTATAAGCAAACCTGCACAATTTTAGGCCTCTGAGTTTTGCTTCAGGTTCCTCATGGACCTGGCTCAGATGGGAAGACGTTCCTCAGCTGTTCGATTACCTGCTGCAGCTGCAGTACGGTGTCCTGCTCATGATCCAAATCTTCACCTACACAACATTAAATGCTACAATCTAAAAAATGCTGGATTAAATATAACCCAGCGTTGGGTCAAAACAACTCAATAGCTGGGTTTGTCCCTTTTTAACCCAGCGCTGGGTTATATATAACCCAGCATTTTTTAGTGTACAATAAACATGACCTCGACTAAAAGCATTACAAGTTTACAGCAACATATAAGCCTTATTTAAAGTCACATCTCTTTGAATCCCATTATGGGTCCATGTTGGCAGGATGACAGCAAAGCTGCAAGGTTATTCCGGGTGTTACCTGCAGCTTCTGTGTCTGTGGTCTCTCTACTGGGAGGCTCCCCCTGGTGGCCACCCCCTGACACAGGAGACGATAGAGAAGAAGGATCTGAGCCATTGGCCTCCGAGTCGTCTTTGGGCTGGTAGACGTGACAAAATGATGAGAGAGCAAGAAACCCTTATGAAAATAGTTCAGAATAGCATCCAACCACACTACTCTATCATTTCTGCAGTATGAACATGACCGTTCAAAGGTTTGGGGTTAGTATGATTTTGTTTTTATTCAGCAAGGATGAATTAAACTGATCAAAAAAGACAGTAAAGATATTCATAATGCTACAAACGATTTCTATTTCAAATACATTTCAAACCATTATTAGTTTATTAGATAATCAGTCATTTAATTTGCAATAATATTTTACAATTATATTACTGTTTTACTGTACATTTTACTGCCTTGTTGAGAGACTTATTTCAAAACATTAAAAATAATCAGTCACACTTTATTTTAGGGTCCAATTCCCGCTATTAACAAACCATTAACTATGCCTTTTTCCTTAATAAACTCCCAATTTGCTGCTTAAAACTTATTTTAACTACTTATTAATAGTTGGTAAGATAGTTGTTGAGTTTAGGTATTGGGTAGGATTAGGTATGTAGAATATGGTCATGAAGAATATGTGCTTTATACCTACTAATAAACAGCCAATATGTTAATAATAGCCATGCTAATAAGCAACTAGTTAATAGTGAGAATTGGTCCCTATACTAAAGTGTTACCAAATAATCTTACCAAGCCCTTTTGAACAATATTACATAGTTCTTTTTCTAAATCTCATTTCATTTTTAAATGTAATTTAATTTGTTTTTTTTTTTTTTATAAAACAAGTTATTTTTAAATACTTATTAAATATATAATATATAAAATAGTGTAGTATGTATACTGTACATATCATGCGTATACCAACAGATGTGCATAATTGTATACTAATAAATATTAGACAGTATATATTGTGCAGTATGCAGTATGCTAGGCTAACCATGCTTTAAACTGAAAACATTATTGATGGGTTCTCTGATGAGAAAAACAGTTTTACAGAGTTTTCAAATGCTGCCAAAACTCCAAACTTCGGCATTTATCGACCAGGGATTTGGCCCCTTTTTCATACATTACAAAGACTGTGTATTTTCTTGAGGGCTGAACTGATAAGAAACTCTTTTTTTTGTTAATTTTACAGGCAGATGAGTTGAAATGAGGCTGTTTGCATGAATACCTCAAATTTATTCTGAGTTAAACTCTTTTATCGCTTTACAGAGATGTCCACAGAGGTAAGACTGTAACTTTCCCAGCGACTTTCTAGGGGTGCAGAATCTCCATAATCCAAGCACATTATTGCTTCCCCCATTACACATCTCTCGTTCGTTTTTATAGGTTAAGTCGATCTCTCTCCCCCCATTCCTTCCCTCTATTTCCATCTAATTCCTTTTCACCTACAGCTACAGCCTCAGTGTTTTTGCTCTGCTCTCTCATTCCATCCAGCCTGCCAATCATATCTCTGCAGCACTACCTCTCTTTTTTTTCTGCACAACCACCTCTTATCCTATTCACTCAGCACCGCCTGAGCTTTTCTTTTCCCTCCTCGGCCTGCTTTCTGTCTTTCTTTCACTAAAGAAAAGGATCCTTTTTCTGCCCACTCTATTCTGTCCATCCCGCTCCTTAAGCTCTATGTATGTCAGCTCAAGAAATGACTTGCTTTCTACCCACTCCACCTGTATGATTCCATCTCCATCAATGGTGTTCTTCCCCATATATAATCTCTCTCTAACTCTTCCTTCCCATCTTTGCAATTTACCAGAAGCAATTCACCAGAAGTTAGTATGTCTTCCTACAGTCTCTCGTCCTCCATCTCTTTTCAGGTCTCAATAATAGCTACTCTTAAAAAAATTCTTTCTGTCTTCACATCTCTTCTCCTTTCACCTGAGACAAGTCTTTTCTAGTTCCCTGTCTCCTTGTCCTCTCTGAACCTGCATTAGTAAGCATCTCTTGCCTCGCTTTTACCCTTCTACATGTGGTACATCAAGGCAGTCTATAATACGGTCTATCCTCCTCTGTTCAGTCGTCTTCCTACTCTTTTTGCCGAGAGCTTCAAATACGTCTTCTTTCTCCCCTCTACCTCCCTTTTCAGTATATTTTGTAAGCCCATCTTTACTTCTCTCACAGTGGCTGTTTTTAAAGCTCAAAACATTCCTTCAAACCCATAAACATTTAACATGAAAGTCTCCAGCGCAGAAGGCCCTGATTTACCTGTTCGTGTCCTCCCTGTACAGTGGTAACATAATCAGACAACTCCCTACGCGCCATTCCTTCAATGTTTCTATAATAATAATCTATTCTGGCTCACACTTTAGTACTCACTGTGGGCATACTTCTCATTTTTTAGGTATACAGGCATATGTTTTAGGCTATATCTCACCTGCAGCAGTAGTTCTCTGAGTCTGTGTAGCTGGGACTCCAGTTGCTTGTTGTGGTCCTCTAGAATCTGCATGCGCGTCTCCAGGCGGGTCTTGTGCTGTCGAAGGACTCGAGCCTCGGCTAGGAGCTCCTCGTCCTGCTGACCGGCCGGTGAACCGGGACCCGACTCCAGCAGCTGGGGTGAAGATGCTGCCTCTTCATGCTTCCACTTCAGCCGCCGATACTCACCCTGCAGCACCCTACGGGAGAGACAACAGCATCATCATCATCATCATTTAGATTTAGGTCATTATACATGCTACATCTAGACAAAAGCTGTTACATTAAACAAATGTGATATAATCAAGTTTCTTTACTCAGTTTAGAATTACATACTCTCAGTTATACAAATTCATTTTGTATCTTAAAAATCTTAAAGGGGTTATGAACTGCCTCTGTTTTTTATTTTGTACTGTTCTCTGAGGTCCACTAATAATGTTATCAAGATTTTTACATCATAATTTAGAATAGGCTATTTTCTGTTCTGTTTTTAACCCCCCTCATCAGAACGCTCTGTTTGAATAGGTGTGGCAGATTGTAGACTCGGAAGTAAACACCCAAGGCTAGGATTGGCTTGTGTATGTTTGATAGTCTATGTTCTTCACAGATGGACGCTGCTGTGATTTAGGTTAAAACGCATAAATACTCAGTACATATAAAACAATCCGTTTAACAGACAAGGCTATAGCGATAGCGTAATAAAAAACAGTTACTCACACGTGTGTTGCGACATTACTGACGGATTCAATATACAGTAGTTGGCACAGCATCATCTTTTAGTTTCAATCTTTCTGAAAACCCTGCATCCAATTGTGCCTTGTTTGTAAGGACCAAGTTCTAACTGACGGTCTGGCACTTCATTAAAAATAAAGTTCATGTAAATAAAGTTTATCGTTACTTCTCGTTATTTACACTATGTGTGTGAATCGGTAGGTGGAGCTAAACAGGCAGTGATGCAGAAGCAGGCGTTGATCATCTTCTGCAGAGGCAGTGTTTAGCCACACTATTATGTCATAAAGTGGCACATTCCACAATCTGTCGCTTTGGCAGACTGGATTCAATATAAGCTGTTTTTAGATTAACGAGAAAGTTTTGAGTTCTGAAACATGCAGAATGTTTTTATAGCACAATGACCTCTTATAGGAGCTAAACAGGCAGTGATGCAGAAGCAGGCGTTGATCATCTTCTGCAGAGGCAGTGTTTAGCCACACTATTATGTCATAAAGTGGCACATTCCACAATCTGTCGCTTTGGCAGACTGGATTCAATATAAGCTGTTTTTAGATTAACGAGCAAGTTTTGAGTTCTGAAACATGCAAAATGTTTTTATAGCACAATGACCTCTTATAAATCAAAAGAACAAGGGAAATTTGATTTCTCAGTTCATGACCCCTTTAAACAGAAAAAGTTTTTTTCCCCTTCTAAATTTAATTTTTAAATGTTGTTTTTTTAATATAAATATACATTTCATCTACATATTTATTACAAAATACCTTAATACCTTAAATATTAAATATATAACTATTTAAATAATTACTACGTAAATAATTGCTTATAATGATCTGAATGTAATTATTAATAATTTGATAATTATTTGAATTGCTGAAAATAATCTAATAATTATTCTTTAGTTGTTTTATTTTATTATATTCCAGTTTCTGTATTGTTGTATATGGAAATATTTATTATTTTGTTATTTCTCTATTTGTAGCACGTAAGTTCAGTTGGATTTGGGTGGGTTGGATGGGTGTTTAACTGAGCAGCCATCACTCAGCTCTTTGTATCCCAATAATGACTGATTTATTCAGGGGGTTAAGGTTGCAGATCCCCTGCAGACACTAACAGTTAATCTTGCTTTGTTGACCTATTACTCACCTATAACAAAGCAAGACCACATGAGAGCATGACTTAAAGGTCAGGATTTACGCCAAAGACAAAACTCATAAATGACTCACAGGTGTAAGAGTAGCCTCTAGGATGAAATAAAATGGTGGACCTGATAGACGTTTTTGTGTTTCTGCTGATGTTTGAACCAGTTTTAAGGTCTAAAGAGCACAACTCATTCAGATTACTGTTTCTGACCCAGACTAACCATCACAATCATAATAATGTCTACAGTTTCCCAGTAACACATTTTATCTCAGCCAATTAAAAGCTATTAGCTCTACAATATCTTAATCCTCTGGAAAGCTGTGAAATTTAAAGGGCCATCACAAAGTGCAGTCCATCACAGCCAGAAGCCAAGAGTCACAATTACAAAGACAAATCATTTTACCCCCAATTATTTAAAATAACACGTTCAGCATAACCCTCAGTGAAACCATTGTACAGTTTAATTTCTGTACAAAATTATTTCAGTATTTATAAACATCTTTAAAATAAGATGCATTTATTTTGGAGACAAAAGTACAGAAAATATTTAGAGTTTCTTATATAATTGTATATATTTGTAATATTTAGTTTGTGTATGTGTGTGTGTATACATTTTATTTATAAACCTTTTATTGAACTAACAACCAAAAAGCATCGATTAGCAACCCCCTTAGCATCTTGGCAGTAACTTTTGCATGGTTAAATATCATTCCCATGTTCTTCAAAAATCTAAAATTCTAATTATTTTTGGAATTCAGATTAGTACCGCACAATTTACATATTTCAGCTTCAAGTGTGAACGTTCCCCTGGCTGTGCCCTCACCTGTTCTCGTTCTCCAGGCGTTGGAGGGTGCGCTGCAGCTCTTCTCTATCCTGGCAGTCCAGGTGGGCCAGCAGGTGGCCGTGGGGGGAGTCCTGCTCAAGGGCAGGGCTGGAGTGACGTAGGAGGTACTGATCTTCATCCCTGAGTCCCCCCACACAGGAGACAGTGCACACTGAACACATTAGCAGTGCCACGCAACAGCAGACCGACACACACACAGCGCCAAGCGTGCACACAAAGCAGCAGGTACATAAGCCAAATGCACACAATGCAGCAGTGGCATATCAACACAACACATGCACGCATATTTTGCATAAACTGCGGATGCCGTGTTTAGAGTGTATGCAAACACAGACTAACGCACACCATCATCCATAAAACAAACAACAGTGTAGATGCTGAACAAGCGGCGATCATACAAACACGCACTCTTGGTGATCCAAGCGCTCTCCATGCCATCAAATACAGCAAGCTAAATAGGCACAGCTAAAATACAGGCACACAGGAGCAAAAACAAATTACCACTACACACAGGAAGGACTGAAATAACGGCTCTCACATTAGTCACATCAATAATAAAAAACCTAGCTGTTTTCATGCACTCTGCTGTAATTATACAGGTGCCATTACATGGGCCATCAGTAAACAAAGGCCATTTACAGACCGCTGGATGAGGAAGATTTGGTAAAAGCCACCGAAATGGCACATTATGCCCTGTCAAACAGATATAATACATTACTCACTGATGCGTCTCTCTCTGCCTTTTAAAAGAACAGTTCTCCAAAAAATATTAAAGGGATAGTTCACCCAAAAATGAAAATTCTGCCATTAATTACTCACCATCATGTTGTTCCAAACCCGTACAACCTTCGTTCATTTTCAGAACACAAATTAAGATATTTTTGATGGAATCCGAGAGATTTCTGACCCTGCATAGACAGCAATGCAACTGACACATTCAAGGCCCAGAAACGTAGTAAGGACATCGTTAAAATAGTCCATGTGACATCAGTGGTTCAACCGAGAAATTGTTGAATAAAGTTGTTATTTTTGTTTTCTTTGCACGCTAATAGTATTATCGTAGCTTCATAATATTACGGTTCAAATACTGATGTCACATGGACTATTTTCACAATGTCCTTACTACCTTTCTGTGCCTTGAACGTGTCAGTTGCATAGCTGTCTATGCAGGGTCAGAAAGCTCTCGGATTTAATCAAAAATATTTCTGAAGATGAATGAAGGTCTTACGGGTTTGGAACAACATGAGGGTGAGTAATTAATGACAGAATTTTCATTTTTGGGCGAATTATCCCTTTAAACACAAATTTGTACAATATAAACTTCTTAATCATCTATTTTCAGTAAGATTTACTAAATATACAGTGTTTGTAAACATGAATCTTGCCCAACAGATGTCTGTTTTATGTTAAGCAATATGTAATTCACACTTTTGAGACAGTTGACAAACATGTTTATAGTGCATTATTTTCAGCATGTTAATTGCTACGTTAAGTGCAGCAATTCATGTGTTGTGCATTTTCATGTGTTATAATGTTGAGTTACACAGAGTGTGAAATTTTAGGTTTACAATAGAAACACTGTGTTTAAAAGTGTGACTGAACAAATCAACTCGGTTTGGCCCACCAGACTCAAATGTCCAGCTACGCCCAAGCCCATTTTTTACTCTGTGAAACAAATACTAATATTAATTTATAATATACCCATATTATTTTATTCTACAAGTCTTCCCAACAAATACTAATTCTCTTCATTTATGAGTTTGACTGTGAATTGTTCTTAGATGAACCTTTTCAAAGAATCATTTGATCCCGTTCACAAAACGGCTCAATGATCTGGTCACAATTAACAGTTGCGATGAAGATTAGGATTGAATAACAAAAATTTCAGTGTGTTCCTAATGGTTATCGTATGGTTTCGGAAGACTTGGAATACAGTGCATGAGTCATGTGGACCACTTTTATTATGGTTTAATTGTCCTTTCGCATGCTTTTTAAAGCTGGATAACTCATTGTAATTGCATTGAAAAGCAATTCTTTTGTGCTCCAGGGAAGAAAGAAAATCATAAAGCTTTGGAATGACATGAAGATGAGTTTATTTTTGGGTGAACTATTCCTTTAAATTTCCTTCTTTCTCTCACTCACAGAGCCATTTCCAGCACAAAACATGCACAGCCATGTCTCTGGGCTGTGATGATCTGACCTCTTTTATTAGTTTTGATTTCGTGCAGGCTCACCTAATTTCACCTATATATGCACTTATTTCAGTGGCTTTCCTTGTCCGCTGGCCTACAGCTCTTAACATCTTGTTTGGTAGCATTTCAATAGCCCAATCTCTCTCTTTCTCTCTCCCTCCTGTCAGCATCCAAGCCTGCTCTATTCATCCCTATTGTTGTGCTCCTTAATCACACAGACTTAATACGACGGAGGGTGAACCCACACATTGCCATGGGTCATTTTCATTATCTTTTTAATTAATGTGACTGCCCAGCCACACCAAACATGAAGGCATGCATGCATGGCCATGCGCACATCCACACACCCATGCATGGGGACTTAGCGGCCGTGATAGATTCCAGTGTGTGTGGGAGGTGGTGTACTCACAAACTTTCATCTGGAGAGAGACTGTCGGTGAAAAAGGAACAGCTCTGGTTCTCCATTTCTGCCAACCTGAAAAGAAAGAGCAAGCGAAATGAAAATGTCATATTACGGAGCACGGGTCACAACATATAGAAAGGCATACAAAGGCAAAGTCACTGTGCACTGCAATTTGTTTGCTGTAGCAAGGACAGTGGCTTCAAACACAAGAGGCGTAGGAACGGAATAGCATGGTTGGCAGAGGAAAAGAAGACGACAGCTGTGACTCAGCGACTGCATGACACCTTAGAGCAGTTTCTCCAACCTAAAAATCAAATGTTGTTATCCTACCCTGACATTTCAGATACCGTGTGCGACTAATCTGGGTGGCAAATTATCATGCAACGCCGAAGCTGTGCCTCCTGGCTTCACCCTCTTCTCTCTCTCTCTCCATGACAAAGCCAGAGGAGAATCTGTTCCCCTTTCACTTCATATGTCACATGCATTTTTATGACATAAATGCCTCTCCTGGGTATTTTCACCCAAACTCCTTGTAAGTTTGCATTCCCTGCATGGTAATTTATGTCAAGTGGCATGGTAAAAACAGAACATGAAAAAGATCTTCATCATGCACCACAGATTACGTGGCATACAACTGACATGCCATGCCCGAAAGTATACAGTATGAACGCTTTACGGTCCACTGCAGCTTGAGTCCTTGTGTCAACCTAAAGCCAACTTAAAGCTGAAATGAGCCATTTCTATGTATCTAGCAGCACCAAATGCAGTAGCAAAAGTAAAGTATAGTTTATTCTGTGGTCATCTTGAAAATATTTTCTATATAGGCAATTGTAGAGCTCCTATCTGCTTAAAAGGAGAATAAATGAATTCAAGCTTACATTTCAACAACATACACTACCGTTCAAAATTTGCAGTGGGTAAGTTTTTGAAAGAAATCTCTTATGCTCACCAACCCTGCATTTATGCATTAAACATTAATAATGTGAAATATTATTACAATTAAAAATAACTTTTATTTTATATATTTTAAAATGTTATTTATTCCTATGATGGAAAAGGTGAATTTTCAGCAGCCATTACTCCAGTCTTCAGTGTCACATTATTTCCTTCAGAAATCATTCCTATATGCTAATTTGGTGCTCAATAAATATTTCTTATTATCATAAATGTTAACTGTTTTTCCCCAGAATTCTTTGATGAATAAACAATTTGAAAGAACAGAAGTTTGAAATATAAATCTTGTCATTATAAATGTCTTTAATGTCAAACAATATTATTTAAAAATAAAAAAACTTACTGACCCCAAACTTTTGAATGGTTAGTGTATGTCAAATCAGCAACAAAATAAGACAACATTGGCAACAAATCATATTTCTTTAGCTCAATCATGCTAAAAATTTTAATAAATTAAAATAAACATTTCAGGCTGGTCCAGCATATTAAGTCACATTTATTTGTGCAGTACTTTTCATAACACATATTGTTTCAAATTCTTTTGAAAAAAAAAAAGTTTTCCAGAGATGACTTAGGAAAAACAGGTGACATCTCCATAATTGAGGCAACTGGCTCTATAATGTCTTCGGTTAATGATAAATCTCAATATAGCGCCCCTTGTGGCAACTTGGATAATGCAACAAATAGCACTCCGACCCATTTCAGAATGCAACAATGTATGAAAATGAGTTTGCGTGGCTAGAAGGGTCACCCTGCACCTCTAGCAAAATTCTGCGTCATCCAGAACAGACAAGATTAACCCAGCACAAGAGAGGTGTTCTCAACACAGCAGGGAGTGGACAATGGTCCCTGTGCTTACTATTAGCAACGCAGGGGTGAAACTTTGCCTTTAGCAATGCTCTGCACTTTCCCTGCCTTAGCTTACCCTTTAGGTGAGAGACTGAGGGAATTTCACTGCCTTACCATGACAGCCTGTGAATTAGCAACAATATAAGAGCCTCTATAGAGATCGTAATGAGGAGTGCTAAGTGCATTCATGTCATGCTGCTAGGAAAGCTGCCAGAGAAAGCTCTGAATTGAACTTCAGAACACAGCAGACTAGAGAACCCACATGCAGGATGGGGCTGCCTTAGAGAATAGCAGAAAGTCGATACACATTCACCCACCAGGTGTCCTTCAGCCAATGACGGTGGCGCAGGCTGTCCTGGTTAACCCCACCGCCTGGCTAGGACGACTCCTAATTGAATCTGCTGAAACTCCATCAGCTAGATCCAATCAAAAGTGTTACTAGGAAGCGCAGATGATGTCACAGATTCTGTGGTGCGAGGTCAAATGGAGTTTGCTGTTATACACGTATGTCTTTGTAGTTGTTTAAATGGGTTTCTCAGGGAGTGGTTAGTGTGGTTTCTTGTTTGAAAGAAAAAGAGAGGTCACAAACACAGATCGGCAAGTACAAGACAAACAATTTCCTCTGAGAAGCACTGTCTTGAAATGGACATTGTGTGTTGAGATTCAGAACAGTAGTTCAGCCTTTCTGATATGCTGTCTGTTCTTCAGATGAAAGGCTGTCAGTACAGAGCACTTACTCTGTCATGTCCAAGCAAATCCACCCCTGTATGGCGAGTCTAGATCATCAAATGCCAGTGGATTTATTCTCCCACCCCCTCAATCTCGAGGTCCTCCAGTCATTACTCTGGAGTAGCCTATAAACGCACGTACAATCTCCATTCCCATGGCTATGAAGTTCTTCCTCTGCGCTCTTACTGCAGATACCACATCTGAAACATCTGACAAGAATTAAATTTTCTATTAGAGTTCAAAGCCAGTCTTGACAATGTCGGAAATAAATAATGTGTCACCTCATTTAGCACATGCTCTCTATCGCTCATATTTTGTAAAGGGCAGAACTATCAGATAAAAGTGAATGAAAGGGATTTTCCGAAGCACTGCCAAAGACATGTGCATTTTTCATTTTTATGGAAGCATCTTTAGCTATAAAATGTTTGTCTTTTCTTATTTAGCCGACACTTAGATCAAGTAGTATAGTTTAAGAATGCACAAATGCACAAAAGCAAGGAAATGAATGGAAAGCTTGAGAGTTTTCTGAAAGCACGTCGAGAATCAAATGTGAACATGCAAAGCCAGAGTGAAGAATTTAATAAAAATGAATGATGCCTGTCTGATAATGTTGCTCATTAGCATGCTTTTCATTTGTCAGAGATGTTTTAACAGCCAAATTCAATAAAGAAATAATGTGAATCAGATAATGCCGCAAATAAGTGACAGTTTGCAATCTGATGGCAATTTATGATTAAGTAAATGTATAAATGGATACAAGAACAAAAACAAGTGGCAATGAAAATAATCTTCACTGGGTAGAAAGCGGTAATAAATTGCTCAGATAAATATTGCAAATTAAAAAAATTAATGAATATTGTAAGCCATCAAATCACTGAAGCACACTTTTATCATTTCATTTGTCTCCAGTGATATGTAGTGTTATGTCGCTGAGTGTTTTAAATATTCAGGCATCTTCTTATCGAATTTAGTCAATGCTGCTGGCATTCTGTGAGCCTATGATCCCAGAACATTTTACACAATCAGTCAGACGCAAACGGACCCCTGTGAAACATTAACTGGCGACAGTTGAATAAAAACAACGAATATTGTTTTAAGCAGGAACAACTAATGCAGACGGCACTGATGTGTGTAGGGGGAAACCAGAGATAGCATGAGAGAGAGAGAAGAGACAAATTTGGGGAACTAAAAAGGACAAGACAAGAGGAAGAAATGTGCTATGGTAAGTGATTGATATTAGGAAGGAAAGGGGGAAATGAAATAAGACATTGAAAGGCAGGAGCAGAAATCAAGCATATGACAGAGGAGGAGACAGACAGATGAAGACAAAAGGACACAGAAGCTGAGAGAGCGAGAGAGAGTGTGTGCGCACTCTGGTCTATTTGTAGTACAGATAAGAGCTGCAGCAGGGTGTGAGCTGAGACAGTTGGCAGCACAGTATGGTAGGGTAGGCAAAGGGCTGATCTGTGTGTTCATGTGTGCATGTGGTTGTGTGTATTTAGGTAGTTGGCAGGGAAGTTAGTCGGGGCAGAGGAGCACATCCCTGATCGTTTGCTGCAGTCAAACCAAACCAGTCACATTGGGCTGTTAGCTTCACTGTGCTTCCACAGCCGAATTAAAGGGTTAGTTCAGCCACACATGAAGATTTTGTTGTTTACTCACATTCATGTTGTTCCGAACCCATGTGATTTTCAACTGTGTATGACCTTAAATGGAATTTGTCTGTATTGCTTATGTATTTCGCATTGATTTGTTTTCATTCAGCTTTTTGACATGGTTGTAACACATGGGGCCAGATTTCAGATTTACTAAACAGGGCAAATTAGCGTGAGAGCGCAATTCCAAAACAGAGCCGATGGGCGTGGAAATTTCTGCGGGTGATTTACTGACAATGCGCAAATTAACGAACACAGACGCAACATTTCATTTACATATCGACCAACGCAATATACCAAGCGCAGCGCAAATTAGCGTAGTCGCAAATAAGCAGAGCCGATGCTCATCAGGTGCGGGTGATCTACTTTCGATACAGGCACAAAATGCTTTTTTGGGCGTTAAATAATGACGCAAATACCAGTAATTTGACGAGCGCAAACGTTAGTAAATCACGTTGCGTGATTCATTTTAATACTCTCCTCCCATAAATTTCGCATCTGAAAGGAAAACTCCTACAAATGCATATTCATTAAAGTCAGGTGCAAACTGTGTCCACGCCTTTTCAGCGCTAATTCCCTGACACTGACAGTAGGCTACTATTTTAACGCCAAAAGACAGTTTGCGCTGGAGCAAGCTGTTAGTAAAACTGGCCCATAATGTGACTGTATAAACTTCATTACCATTGTCACCTTGTGTGCATGCATTGTAAAGAACACAGACTGTAATCGCGTGATGGATTTCCCTATTTTATTGTATATTGTACACATCTCACGTAAAGGATTATTAGGTAAATGATTTAACATACACTTAGTGGTTGTATGATATAAATTGCTTATTGCTTATCACATTTGATTATTATGCTGGTTTTATTGTTTGATAATTGACTTATACAGTGTTTCTCTTTGTTTTTCTGTTGCTCTTACAGCTTTTTATTTGAGTGTCAACACATTAAATATTTTTGGATACATCAGTTAAGCAGTATTGACCAATTACTCAACATGTTTCCATCCACCACCCCTAGATCTCAGTTACATTTGCATATATTTCAATATGCCATCAAGAGCAGCGTGAACATTCTGCTAAACTTTTCCACTGAAGAAATAAAGTCATATGGGTTAGGAACAACAAAAGGGCGAGTGAATACAAAATTGAAACACTTGACTTGAATACTTTATGCATAATGCATTATAAAAGTACTTTATAATGCATTGTATGAGATGGATATTTGTATAAATAAATTATAATAAGTATCTATTCATTGTTACATCTTTAGGCAAGGCAAGGCAAGGCAAATCTGCAAATATTGTAATCCATTTTAACTTTGGTTACAATTATTTATGAAAATATATAATGCATTACAATGTAAATTATGAATACCTTTATAATGCATTATATATAAACGCTTCAAGTAAAGTGTTACCAAAAAAAAAAAAACATTTAACCAGTCTTAGCTGGTTTGCCTCTCTTAGCTGGTCTCCTTTGGCTGGTTTTAGGTTAATTTGGCACACTTTTCAGATGGTATGAATAGGAGGCCAGCAGGTTATCCTGCTAAACATCTGCTTGACCAGGCTGGAAGTATAGGCTGGTTTAAACCAGGTTTCTTTGTGACTTCAAATGTGTGTAAGAGGGACATAAGCCTGAAGTGCTACTGGCTGCACCTAATTCTAAACCCCACGGATATAACTGTGCGTAAGTATGAGCAAGCGTTTTAAAATGTTCGAGTAAAAATGCATGTCTGTTTGAGTGTTTCCTGAGCGTGTAATGTGCACTCCGTCCAGGCCAGAACGAGTCTGATCCATGCTGGCAGCTTCCTCGAGCCCTCCAGACCTTGTGGGTTGAGCTTTCATTCTTCTAGTGGAAAGCAGCTGACCCCTGTCCACCCCTCTGAATGCCATCTCTCACTCTCTCTCTCTCTCACATCCCTCTCACTTCCTCCCAGGCTGTTGTTAAGGCCCTGCTGTTGGGAACACTGTGTCCGTGCAAAGAGGATCAATATGCCAATCAGAGCTCAGTGGAGTGAGCAGAAGTGGCTGCTGGGAGAATATCAGAGCATAAGTAAGGTGCGATCACTGTCCGTGTGAGACTGAACTCGTACCTGCTGGCAAAATGCTCAATCCGGCTGTGTGTGTCCGCATGAGGCAGCCTGGGAGATGAGCAGGGCCTGTCAAAACAAGAACACACACATCTGTTAGCAAAGTAGCTTGTTACTGTATGTATGAGTGCCTAGTTTCTGGTCTTAGCTGGTCTACAAACTTGCTCAGGCTGATCCGTCTTGCTTGATTTAGAGGAATTCAGGGTGCTTTAAGCTAGTCAGGACGGGTAAACAGATGGATGTCCGGTTAAACCAGCTGGAGATCACCTTGGCCAGGCTGGGAAACCAGCTTAATCCAGTTTAGACCAGCAAACCAGCTAGGTTTTAATCTTTATCGCAACTAAATTTATCTGCTTTTAAAGATGTTTAGATGGGGGGTTTTTTTTTTCAGAAAAGCAAGACAAAAATAAGCTGGCCTAAGATGGTTTGTGGGCCTTAGCTGGTCTCCCCTCCTTAGCCAGGCTGATCCGATTGCTCACTTTATAGGAGTTTTGGGAGTTTACAGCTAGTCAGAATGGGAAAACACTGGACAACCAGCTGACAACCACCTAGGCGCGGATGCTAAAATCAGCAAACAACCTAGATTTTCATCCTTTTCTTGGTTTACCTGAGCAGCCAGATGGCCTCCCAGCCTGATGAGCTGAAATGTAAAAAAAAGGCCATCAAAACAGCTTAAGCTGGTTTAAAATGTTCTTTTCAACAGGACAGAAAATAATTGTTCGCAGTGCACTGTGTTCAGTCCCTCAGTTCTTCACTTATAAACCTTCAAAAAGAGCACAACGGCGCTTAGGTGTGATTCTCATCAGTGGAGACAGGAAGTCAGACTCACGTCTCAGAGCTCTCCACCTCCAGTACTGACTGAACGGGCAGGTATCCCCTCTGAGGGTGTTTACTAAAATACTGCTTCGAGCGGAACTTGTTCTTTAGCGTCTTTGCGAAGTCCCGCATCTTCTCGCCTGACGTCGTCTGGAATGATTCAGAAAGAGAGAGAGAGATAGTAAAAGAGCCAGCGGAGAGAAAAATGAAAGATCTTGAGCGATTGAGACACAACACGTCCCCTTCGTAACATTCCTCCGACACACCGCCAGTACATCACTTCCTCCACAGAACATTCGTCTTCCTCCCATCTCAATCTATCATCTTTTGAGCAGCCACAGAAAGCCGGTGCATAATAAAGACGCCCACCTATAAAACTCAGACTGGAGCATGGGAAAAACATTAAGCAAATGGCCTTGTGCTGTATTTCACTGCAGGAGATCAATTTGGTTCAATTCATATTTATTTTGCGTAGTGCCTTGTACAATAGTGATTGAATTTGAAACCTTTGAGCAAGCACAATGCTGCCAGTTGGCAAGGAAAATCCTCTGCAAGTAACAAAGCATATGTACCGGGGTGTAGTACTCCATGATGGGGTAGTGTAGTTTCTTGCCCTTGGTAGTCCGGCCTGTCAGAAAACACGTCTGGCAGATGTCCACATTGAACTGTTTCAGACTTCGGTATCTGATGAAACAGGCAGAGACACGTTTTACATCCAAATATTGATGTTTGTTCATTTTAGGATTTGAATATTACAATCATGAATCTGAACTACCCTGCTGATAATAACAATTTAAAACTGGCAGGGTGCTTTATGCCAGATAGTGATGGTTTAGTATAGGTCTAAATGCGGAGTCATCATAGCACTTGTGTTCACCAGCAAAACTTGGCTGTTTCTGCTGAAGTAGAGTGACTAAGATACACTTTTGGTTAGAGTAATCAAGACGTCTGGTGGGGACACCAGAAAACCAGCATATAATACACAATATTACTTATTGTGCACTACCATTTAGAAGTTTGGTGCTGGTGAAATGCTTTTAAAAATAAGTCTCTCATGCTTGCCAAGCCTGCATTTATTTAATCAAAAATACAGTAAGAGAGTAATATTGTAAAATATTATTACAATTTAAAATAACTGTTTTCATATATTTTAAAATGTAATTTATTCCTGTGATGGCAAAGCTGAATTTTCAGCAGACATTATTCCAGTCTTCAGTGTCACATGATCTTTCAAAAATTATTCTAATAATTGTAATCTGTTATTATAAATGTTGAAAACAGTTGTGCTGCTTAATATTTTTGTGGAAATTGTGATAATATTTTCAGGATTCTTTGATTAATAGAAAGTTTAAAATAAACAGCATTCATTTGAATTTTTGATCATTTTGATCTATTAAAAAGTCTATTAAAAGGTCTATTTGAATGGTAGTGTACATACTGTATTCTGGTTAATAAGCTATTTTCTTAGCAAGGTAATTCTATTTATTTATTTTTTGCTCAATTTGACCTCTTTTAAACACAGTGCATTCGGTTTTAATGCATCCAGTTTCCCTTTGAAGGACAAAAAGCATAAAAAAGAGATGGAAATAAATATTTAAATTAAATATAAAAATATAAATAATAAATTAACATACGCAACAAAGATTTTTGCCAAATTAAAATAATAAAATGAATATAAATTTAATAGTATTCACATATTTAATTAAGCCCTAATTAAAATCCAGTCCATTAACAACCCATGTGTACTACTCCCTCTGCAGTTCTTAACTTCAGTGCTATTACCTCAAACTCTTTGATCAGTAAAAAGAGGATTTTTTTATCATTTATTTTGAGTAGCTAAAAAATAACGATAGAGAGATCTGTGCTGTCTTTCTCCAAATAACGACTCAGCATTGCAGCAGCTCACCTGAAGCCCTTGATAGGGCACTGCTTACAGATGTAGCAGCGTGCCTGGTGCTTGGCTGTCTCGGCCACAGTTACCCGGTGTAGAACAGGAAGCCACACCACAGACTGAGGCTCTAGGCTCATCCACTCCAGAAAGTGAGACACCTCGATAGCTGACTTACCTGGAGCCTAGTGGTAGACACAGAAGATACACATGAGAAAGATAAAAATCACACAGCAACAAGTAGCATGAATCCAGATACCCAGAAGACATATTGTTCATTATTCATGCCCAATTAAGCACCAAAACAACTTCTGGTAGCTGATGGGCACAAGCACCCTATCAGAGCATGTCCCTTAAAAGTACTCATGCGATACAGGGCAATCACGTCCCCGTGAAAGGGAAGGATACAATCTCAGAGAGGCCCCTTGTTATAGTGACACAGTGGGAAACGGATGACAAGCAATAACCCTAATAAAAGAGGATGACATAAAATTCTGGAATGTGCTAAATTCTCATTAAATACGCATCGAAGATGCATTAAAAGGTTGATTTCCCTTGGGCGCACTCTGAAGCTCAGGCAGAGCTTTATAATTAACATGAGTATCTCTAGCGTGGCTCTTAGTAGTCGCTGGAGTGTGTCGTCTCCTGAGAGGGCAAGGCAGTGTGTGTGTGTGTGTGTGTGTTTGTTTTTAGCAGTGTTTGTAGTCTGGGACTGAGACCAAAGTGTGCAGTGAGGAGTTGAGTTGAAGACTCCAGAAGTTTCACTGAAACAACAAAAGAGGATCTTCTAAACAGTCCATACCACAGGGACAGCTGATAGTTTCCCATGAGATGGTCCATAACTTCAAACAAAGTGAACCAGTCTTTTCATCTAGACACACGCTGAAACCCACACCGACTGGCTGAGCTACATCATTCTTGATCTGTCATGATTAATGCAGCCAGTGAAAAAAATTGTGTAATTGGAAAGCACTGATTGGCATTTCTTCCAGAATTATAAAGGCAGACATGGACCAAACGTCAAAATAAATGAATTTTAATTGCGTGTGCCTGAAATTGCACACATGCTCTTGAATGGAACAGGATTTAATTAAAGGCAGAGTAAGTGATTTTTCAAAAACACTTTAGAAAACTGATTCGGGCCGAATCGCAAAACAAACTTGTAGCCAATCAGCAATAAGGGGCGTGTCTACTCGTGATGTGGAGGAGAGCGCGTTCAGTGCATGGGACGGACATTAGCCGAGCCGAGCGACAGAAAGATAGAGATGGCGGATAAAAAAACAAAAGAGGAAAACGTATGCGAAACGATAAGGCAAGAAGTAGGACCCGTGTAAATATCGGATCAGCTTTCCAGCGCTGGAGAGAACTCAAGGAGCGGAGGCCTGCGATCGGACGCCGAGGTTGCTTTGTTTCTTCTCAATAGGTGAGTAACACCGTGTCTACAACAGCTAAAGTCTGCCTACACTGAACGCGATCAAACGACCGTTGAAAACCATTTGAAATTTGTGTCAGCATGTCATAAATAGAACCCGGCAGCAGTTTTCTGTCGGGGATTTGTTGCGCCGCGCCGCTCACATCCGTAGACACGGTGTAACATTGGTTTTGCTTTGTTTCACAGAACTAATCGTTGCCTGGGTTGCGTACGTATATGTGGGGCGTAGCTATCAAAATAGGGGCAAGACCCTTTTGGGGTAGGGGCGTGTTTGTTTTGGTGATTTCAAATATCAACATTGGCTACCAGAAATCACTTACTCTGCCTTTAAGGGCTGGCAGACCTAAGAATGAAAGGTTTAAGGCCATTCTACAAGAAACCTGTGCCCTACACCAATTTCATAATTAGGCCATCAGCAGAATGAAATGCCAGAAGGTTATGTTCCACTGCGATGCCCCTGCATTTTCTGAATGACAGCCTCATAAGTGTAAAGATGGATGAGAAGATGTCAGCGAGCATTACACCTTCATTTTCCTTAATTAGCATAGACTATCAAAGTCTGAAACACTCAATGCAAGTATATGAACCTAAACTCTTTGGAAAGCTTGATTTCACACCGACGCAATTGAACGCAACTCAATTTACAGCACTGTTAATTTTTTTTGTTTTGTTTTTAAATAAATCAATATTTTCATTTAGAATGCATTTAATTGCTCAAAAGAGACAGTAAAGACTGTTATATTGTTACAGAAAAATTCCATTTCAAATAAATGCTGTTCTTTTGAAAGTTCTATTCATCAAAGAATCCTGAAAAAAATATATCATGGTTTCAAACTAAAGTATTAATCAACATGAATGCTTTCAATAATGGGATAATGATTCAGTCTTGAGCACCAAGTCAGCATATTAGCAGCATCATTTCTGACACTTAAGACTGACTGATATTTCAGCTTTGCCATCACAGGAATAAATTACACTTTAAAATATATTAAAAAAGAAAAAAAATAGCTTAAATTGTAATAATATTCCACAATACTACAGTTTTACTGTATTTTTGATCAAATAAATGCAGCCTTAATGAGCATAAGAGACTTCTTTTAAAAACATTTAAAAAAATCTTCATAAGCCCAAACTTTTGAAAGGTAGTGTTAAAGTGAAATGTGTTTTTTAAAGTGAATTTCTGTGCCTCTAGCATCAATAGCAAAAACACTTTCTTCCAGACAGGTTTCCTATACATTTGCAAATTAGTCCTGCCAGTTATGTCACTAGTTGAGACAGTGTTGACACTTCTTGGGGTAACAGATCTAATCTAATTTTTAACAATCTAAAATAACACAGCAGCTTTTAAAATTAGTGTAACTGTTGACTAGCTTCCAAGCTGGTAAACTGAATAACAACACATCTGGTTTATGGTCTATGTGTATTATTTTCTTATTTTGTAAAATACTTTTCTGCATACCAGGAATATAGAAATACAAAAGATAGCCATTTTTGGTTGGTTCCCCAACAAGTCTAACCTGTGTCTCTGTGGTGTGATAAAAACATTGCAACCAATGGCTGATGGGGAGTGTTTAGGGAAACGTTTAAAAATAGCCATTGTGTTTGCTATTTCGTTTAGTGGCGTTAATTGCATTGAAATTATGCACTTCTCTTTTAATGGCACAGATGTTTGAAGGTAACTCTATTGCCCCCTTGAGTATGCAAACTTGATGTTGGCACAGTGAAGGAGAAATGCACATTTAATAAGCACAACAGGACTACCAAGTACTGACCAAGCATTTGCGTAGAGTATGTTTCGACTCACTAAAACCCAAAGGAATACAGTCACAGAACAGCTCTTTAATCTCTGTACATTCCAGCCCAAAAACCCAGGAGAAGCAGAGCCTAGTTAGGAGAGAGCGAGGGCGAGAGAGAAATGTGACGGAAATAAAGAAGGAAAGTGAGAAAGTGTGCCTCTGGTACAAATATTTAAGAAGATTTGCTCATCACAGAGAGCAAAGGGTCTGTGTAGAGGGAGGCCCTTTCATCATCTAAACAGAAAGCTTATCAGCGAAAATGAGAGATACTGAAAGAGAGAATCTAAAGTCTTACCATTCGAAAGCAGCTGCGGACACTGGGCTCCACGTTGCTTCCTCCAAATGCCGCCACTTCCCCGAGCTGCCGAGGGATCTGAATAGCCTCGTGTAGTAACAGGCTGAGATGTTTCTGATCTGTCAGTCCACCTGGACCACACACCTGTCTGAAAAGGTCTGCAATACACACACAGAAGTTGAATGCTGCACTAAAAGGACGCAATAGGGAAAAGGAGCTTTGTGCCAGTGTGAAGAAACCTGGAGGTGGGCAAACTGAGAATGTGAGACTTAAATGGCTTTAGGTTATAGAGGTGTGAGGCGAGATGGCTCACACTTTAATGTGTGATATGTTGGCACTGCAAAAAAATTAAAATAAATTAATAAAATAAATTAATTAATCTGTGTTTTTCCAAGTAAAAATATTTTAAAAAATGAATACTTTCATTACAGAATATATTAATTACGTTTTTTTCTTCCCCCTCTGGTCAATTTTATTACTGTTAATTTTTTTTTTTTATTGAAATAAAGCTGAAATAAAATAAAATATAACTATTTGATGGAAAACTGAAACTTAAAAAAACAACAACAACAAAAAACAAACCTAAAATTAGAAATGCGCCTTGGCAAGTAACTGAAGTAAATGGAAGTATTAAAATTACTAAAACTGGGGTAAAAAGATATTAAAGCTAAACAGAAATAGTTAAATAAACAAAAACTAATCAAAATGTCAAAAGCACATACCACAAATGCTAACAAACAAAATAAAAAATATAAAAACTAATTTAAAATATTAATAAATATTATAAAATTAAGTAAATAATACTAATAATAACAAATTGTATTTTCTCATTTTAACTATAGATATCCTTCAATTAAAAAGAATATTTAGAAAAACAACTTTTAAAGGGGTCATATGATGTTGCTAAAAAGAACATTGGTGAAAGCCGATCCGGCGATCCACAGCGTGAAGTTGATGTATTTCCTCAGCGACCAGCATGGATCAGCTCTAGGCATGACGAAGCGGATATCGTCCTCTTTTGGAAGGCCAAACAAAGTAGTTTTGCTTTCACAACGAAACACACAGCGCCTTCACGACATGGCAGTGGCGGCAACAACAATACTACAGCGAGCATAAAAGTTACGCCTTCTTTCTTTGCGTGAACATTTGGGCGGCGTTATGCAAATCTTCCCACATCGTGACATAGACATGTGGGGGGCGTGTTAGAATGAGCCGTTTTAGGTAGGTGTGGTTGACTCTTAACTTTTATAAAGAATATCTCTTTGGATTTGAGACTTTAGTCTTTGTAACTTTACAGATCTTCTTTATGCACCAAGAGCTAGTAACACTCCAAAGAGAAAGGAAAAATTGAAATCGCATCATATGACCCCTTTAAAGATATAATTAAAGATATACATAAAACAAGTTGTGATGTATATTGTGCAGTTTGCTTCAAGTAAATCACCTTGTTTTAAAGATGTCTGGATTTTTTTTCTCACTGGAAAATACAAATATTTGATAAGCAACAAAGTCATTTTGGCAGAGTGGAGTCTGGCAAGATATGCAAGTGTGTGCATCACGCAAGCACTGGTGTAAATGTGGCCAAAAGGCTAACATTAGCCGAGAGAGCCGAACGGCTCAAACAGTATGTGTCATGAATCTAGCCATCACTGAGCAGAATGATCCTGACAGGAGTGAGAATGTTCTCTGCAGTGCCAGTAAAAATAGCACCATCTAAAGTGGCTGGCACACACAAACCTTCCTGCTGTGCGGGCACACACATTCACACTTACATGTAAACCAGACTCATACATAGTCTAGTCCAAGGACAGATTATGGATGGGTCAATCAAGGCCAGAGCCCCGGATCCTCTGACTGCCAGGGCCTTCAAGCTAACAGGCCTGACACCCAAAAACAAGCCACTGTAGATGTAAAATTGATATAGACAGATGAACAGAGCTTTGTGCCAGTGGCTGTTGGCATGATATGAAATAAACAAAGAAATGAGAGATGTTATTTGTTCCTGGTCCCTCCTCAGCACTCACAGAATCCTTTATTGCAGCTTTGATGTTGTATAATAGTCATTGTACACTCGTGTCTCTTTTGGAAAGTATTGCACACGAGGTGTGATTATTTTTGAAACTGCAACAATATTAAATTTTTATTGCAACTTTTATTGCAACAAAATTGGGACTTTATTACAAAGTCTATTTTTTGATGGAAAATGCTATTTAAGCTAGTAGCTGGCTTCTTTTGGCCTAAGCTTGGCTGGTATAAGCTCGTACACCACCAACAAACCAGCTACTTATGGTGATCCAGTTGGATTTGGAACAACATGGCTGGTCAACCAATTAATGACCAGTTTAGATCAGCTTGTTCCAAAACACAGCTATCATCCTAAACAGGATTTTCCAACAGGAAAAAAATTGCATTTTCCACAAAGTGGCTGATGCCCCGGGGCCCTGCAGGGCCTTAATCTTTACATGTCCAATAGGTCCCCCTGTATACACACTCTTAAGTAAGAGCTCATGTGCTTTTTACTATTGAAATGGCACATTGGTAACAAAGCGATCAAGACAGACCAATCATTCAGTGCTCATTACTGATGTGGTGTGTGGGTCAAGTTTTCCAGATGGTGTGGGGTCCAAAAGTCCTAACAAGGATAGTAAAACTTAACATACCATTAAAACCATAAATTAAAATAGAAAACAGTTATTATAAATTGTGATAATATTTCACAATATTACTGTTCTTAGTGTATTTTTGATCAAATAAATGCAGCCTTTGTTGGGATAAAAGACTTCGTCATGGTGGCTTAAATATGGCTTCATGAAAAAAGGTTACTGTAAGGGTTTAGGGGTAGAAATAAAGGACAGAAAATTGGGAAGGCAGACTGTACAGAAAGACATCAAGTTTATGTGACACAGCCCTCTACTTACATTTATACTTTTCCTGGATGTCTGCATTGCATAGAATAACCAGGCCCGTCTTGAAGGAGAGCACTCGCATCTTACCATTACGACCACTGGAGAAAGAAACACAAACACACATTTAAAAATTCACTAAGGTTCTTTATTGAAATGATCTTGTCAATTAGTATGACTATGGAGTAACTACAGTAAGCGGCACCAAATAGGACTGAAAGGGCCCTGCATTATGTTGTACAGTCTGCGCTCTCTCCATGTACTACACAATGCAAAAAATAAATAAAAAATCATCCCAGCAACTGCCTTTTCTCACTACAGTCATTAACATGCTACCATGGATATATGGTCAACATATGAAGTTACTCTGGAGCAGTAACTTCCTCCAAGCCATCTGAATCCTTAATGAGGAGGTTGCCAGGAGCTGCTACTGCTAGCCGAGCAAAATACAGTGATACAGCAAGTATATATGTACACAGTGTACTTTTAGATATTTGTATAGTGGTACATTTCTTGTCTTATTCAATGTTTTATGCTTACAGGAAAAGACATTTCACACTTATTGCACCAGATAGGCCTGTCAAAAAAAGATTCTAAAACAGGTCAGGAAGCATTTGAGCTCCACTGAGACCATGATCTCACGAGCAAATCGAAACAGATTGCTGAACAGATGCAAAAAAAAATAAAATAAAAATTGCTAGAAAACTGATCAAACACTACCAAATCACATTTTGCTTTGTATAACAAGAAATCCCCTGTCAGTATTGCTACTAAAGGGAACATTTCCTACCTTGTTTGGCTTTCTTGTTTGACTGAGAGCTTGTCATTATCATCCTCATGCATGCTGCTCATTCTTATTCACATCCAGCGTTTGTAGCAAAACAAAAAAGCAATTACTACCAATTATTCGCAGAGTGAGAGCTCTGATTTCCAGTCATTAGCAGCAGGTAGTTAAGAGTCTAGTATATGTTTGAGACAAATTCACGAAGGATAATGAAAAACAAGTAAATAATTAAATAAATTAATCTGTTTTTTTTTTTTAAACGTTGGCTAAGAAGCTAAGAGCTTGGCACAGAATGCGATACTTGGAGTCAAGCAGTGGGGCTTTTAACTCCTACAGTCTGATTAGCTGCCTGCTGGTGATGTCTCAGTGCCGTAGTCATCTTTTAATTCACTTAACTGTGGAACACGGAGAACACAGCTTTGCCTATAAGTGAAAGATTTAAGGGTCAATGACGTATAAGAGTGTCCATATTAAATAAAATGGAAAAATCTAAAAATCTTTGAAACACATGTGCCAAGTTCTTAGAAACTATACTCTTTGTATTCAGCTATATATATATAGTGTCACATCATTAACCCTTAAATCCCAGATACAGGACGCCCCTTTTTGCGCAGTGTGTGACTGACCAGTAAAAGTGTCTCACAGACAGCAGGAGGGTGCAGGGTTGGTTTGACGTCATTTGTTGGAGCAGGTCAAATGGGTCGTGAGTGACATTACCGTCAGTACCTGTCGTAAACATTCAGCAGCCAGTTGAGACACATGTCGACGCACAGGGGGATATTGATCAGGACGGACCTCTCCTCCTCTAGTTTCTCATACAGGGAAGTGAGAGCGTGAATGACCTCCACCACATCCATCACGTGCTCGGCATGCTGCAGCTCCTGTTCTCGAAACACGTCCACCACGCTGCTTAACTTCAGCAGGTCCACTAGAAAAACACACACATACACACACACACACACACACACACACATATATATATATATATATATTTATATATATTATATACAGGCCAGATGCTTATTACTGTACGTGTGTGGAGTGTTAACTAATTTGATTTGACTGCTATAACATAATTTCCTCTGGCAATCTCTAGTGCGGCAGTGAGAGTACAGGGTTAAGGCTGTATGCTGATGTCATCCTAGTTGGATAATGAGCTGAAATATGGAAGCAGCACGGCCACGGTGCTTTCAGGGTTAGGTGGGCTGCTAGAGACTCTAACAGGCCTTTGTAGATGCTCATTTTATACAGTCATCCTCAATCATCAGAGCCAGGTACACAAAAAAGCACCGTTTCTATAGCAGCCTGGTTATTAAATCGGCTAATGACATGGACTAGCAAACCAGGAGTGTGTGTGTGTGAGAAAGAGAGATGCAAGCAGTAACTTGTCCTAAGCAGTAACATGCCATGCTCAGTAGTGGATTCAACTTGCTTATGTGGCCCTGAACATGTTTTCTCCATGAGGATGATTCTACAATACAGGTGCCATTTGTTTTCCTTCATGTACATATGTTTAAAAATATAAAACAAACAAACAAATAAAAAAATAAATGACAGCTGAAGCTGAACTTCTACTGTTATTACAGACATTTTTCGAAACATTTACGAAAACCAGGAATTAATTTATTTATCTCTTTCTCCATATAGGTATATATCGTTTTTGTGTGTTAGATTGTTGCTAATGTTAACTTAATAACAATTTTTTTGACATTCTGAAATATATTTTGTACGTGGCGTCATCCTTTCAAGATGCAAACTTTTCAAGGACAAGTCAGTCTCCTCTATTATACTTTATCATTTGTTTTGACATGTTTGTCAATTGAGGGCAATCTTAAACCTGTTACCTTGAACAAAATTTGTAGAAAACAAGCACCTAGTTTCACAAACTTGAGTAAAACGTTTGCAACATCAAATTAAACTGTAAAACCATCAACTTGTAAATTTTCTGAAGACATAACTAGGTTTTATACTGTATGTGTGTATATGTGTGTGTTTAGCTTGAGATGGTACAATAGATTTTAGTAACAGGTGAAAAATATTTTTTTTCCTTGGTTATTTGCAGAAATCAGCTTCTCAAAAGGGGAAAGGCACTCCGCAAAGGAGCCAAAGTTTGGCTAGTTAGATGTAATATAACAACATCCGTTTCCTGCAAAAAAAAACATTTTTTACTGTTGATGGACATTCAGGGGTAGATGTGTATTGTAAGGAAATAAAATCTTTTGCAAGCAACACATAAATCTTACATTTTTCAATGTATTATAGCAGATTTTTTTTCAGTGCCATATTATTTTTTGAAGGGCTCCTGAAAGAAAAACTAACCTACATGGACACATTTATATTTATATTATGTGCACAGTGGAGAGGCTGAAGGAAAGAAGGGAACTGCCAACGAGAGAAAGCTGCTGTCTGGACAGTGGCAGATAAACCTCCACCTGCAAAGCGTGTCGTGGGAGGAACAGTTAATTCCTCATGCAGACTTCTTAATTACCTCCCCCGAAGAAGTACAATCACACCAATTATTAGGCTTAATTAAGCTGCATAAAAATCACTGGGCTTTAATGAAAAAGACAGATCAGAGGCGCACAGCAGGGCCAGCTCTGTACGTGAAATTCACGAATAATCAATGACTTGCGCTCAAAGAGCAGTAGAGGGAAAAGGGCAAACCAGTGTGGGTGCTTCTTTCTACATACATCTTAAAGCCTTCTGCACATGCCTCAGCTTCATGGCAGTCCGGTATGCAGAGAACTTGATATTGTTCAGGTCCGCTGTGAGAGAGCAGCAGGGGAGATGGGAGAGGAAAAAGAGAGAATATCATTCATGAGGAGAGAAAAAAAGCAGCAAAAGAATAGCTGAGCTCTGACATAGGCAAACAGAGAGACAGGAAGCAATGTGTCACTTCGGTGGGGTTGAGCGGTTTATGTTCATGCTGTGCCGGAGTGTTTAGACAACCCGCGTCACATCGCATCAGATTAACACACACAGTAAGCACCCTTTAATCATTATTAATTAGAAGTTGGCAATGCAATCGTAAGGTTGGCCCAGCTGCTCCTGGGTTAACGAGAGAGCTGTTGACATCTCTGGGGTGGGATGAAATATTAGGTTATAATGAGAGATTCAGGTAAAGAAACCGAGCTCAGTGTGAGACCATCTTCTAGTTGGTGTATTTGAGCTGGCGTGTGGGGAACCACACTATGGTTCCCCAGTGGGAAGTAGACACATAGAAGATATAAGAGTAGAGTTTAATTGTGTTTAATTGCCTCACCCAGAGCTTGGTATAATTCAGTCATCTTTGGATGGTCCCAGCAGGTTGTCTGAGCCTGATGGCTATAAAAGGGGAGAGAAAAGAGTAGAGTAAAAGCAGAGTAGCGAAGCCAAAAATAGAAAACCATAGAGAGAGGAGGGAGAACATACGTGAGAGAAACATTAAAGGACTAGTTCACCCAAAAATGAAATTCTGTCATTATTTACTCATTCTTTCATTATTTTGATAATATTATAATATTACCCTCATGGCACTCCAAACCCATATGACTTTGTTACTTCTATGCAACACAAATGCAAATTTTAGTCATTACGTACTGAACAATTTCCCCTCTGCTGCCGCTTTCTGCATATTCAAATTTGGCAAATGGTTACGACGCACACAGGAACAGCTTTTCACCTTTTGCGACAGAATGAAAACCCCTTTTATATTTGGAGGAGTGAAGGGTTTATAAATGATGTCTGAATATAAATTGTTGAGTAAACTATAAAAGAAGCCTTTATGTACACTATAAAAATGTGTTTATACAAAACTATAGGGTTTGTAAAGCAGTAAAATCTGGCAATTGGTTAACTTGTGACCTGACCATATACAGTGAAGAACTGTTGGTTTGACCACATTATATGTCATTTTACTGTAAAATACAGTCAAATTTATGTTTTTGCAAGTAAAAAAACTACAAATTACTGTATAATTTACAGTGAAAAACAGTAAGTTCCCAAAAGTCCTTGCGTGACACATCACATATGATTATATTTTATATAAATAATTTTGTTTATTCTTATTTTTGTTATCAGTAAAGTACATTAGGGTGATTTGTGATCAAGCGGCAACCTCCCGCTCTCTCTCATGAAGCCAATACGGAAGTGACTTAAACTGTAATTCGTCAACTGGCCTGCATAATTAAGGGTGTGGCCACTTGAGTGACAGGTGGATTGCCGCTGCTGTCACCACCGTCGAGCTAGGTGGGTGTGGTTTCAGCAACCAGCTCCCGCCTCTTTGCCCATTTTCAATTATCCTGGAGTGATGCGCTGCCAAGATGGCGACGGCCGCCTCTGCTCACTTTGAGCTTCAAAAACGCTCTTCGCAAACCTACGGTTGACGTCACGGACACTACGTCCATGTTTTTATACAGTCTATGTTTGTTGACACATTTTCTGTTATTTAATTCATGTTTATTGCATTTTCTTGTGTCGTGTGTTGCCCAAACACAATCTCATGGCACTTTTTAGTAACTAGTACATTTAGTACATTTTAGTGAATGGGTGGCTAATTCGTATGAATTTGTACATTCTCACACAATCTGCTTACCTCTCAGTGACTGTTATTGTTAGTGGTGGGATAAGGGGTTGACCTTCATGCTTTTTTTTTTCTATATTTTTTTATTTTTTTTATTTTCATATTTTTTCTAAAAAGCATGTTATCGGTTAGATTCACATTGTACGAATTCATACAAATTCGGCACCTCGTAAAATTGTTTTCCTGTTAGGTCGGGTTGGTTACCCTGATGCTGTATTGCCATAGGAAAAAAATATTGCTCAGTGGTTGCTTTTCCTAAGCTCAGGAGACTTAGATGAGATTCTCATATATCTCTCATTTTAGTATCAACAGCATTTCAGATGTTTCTTCTAAAATTCCTTAGGAGAAATGGAAGCAGACACAAATGAGACATGGGAAATATTTGAGAAAAAAAGAGTTAAAACTGAGAATGTGGTGGAAAAGAGGTGCAGTTGTGCTTCACGTCGATGTGCTGCCCACAAGGCTATGTCTCTGACAGAGGTTACTATGCTCAGGATACTAAGGGCTGATTCTCTTATATCTCTCATTGAGATATCAGCTTTGTCTTAAAGGTCCCATATTGTCAAAACTGAAATTTCCTAGCTTTTTTCATGATAACTGAGGTCTGGGTGCTATGTAACTACCATATAAGTTTCAAAACAGTCAGTCTACAGTAAAATTCACACAGCCTGCTTAAAGCCTGCTTAAAGTAGCTGTGATTTTTCACGAACCGCTGTGACTTGACGTCAAAAAGTTGACGTCAGAACTACACAGTCACCACCTTCAGTCACCACCCCGAGCACCGCCCACACTCCCACTCTAGGAGCTGTAAAAATATATTGAGATGGTTTTTGGTACTTATACCGCAAATATATATTCTTAAGGACATCAAAACCTAAAATAAAACTCCAGAAAGGTGTAAAATATGGGACCTTTAAGATGTCTTCAGTTTTATTTTAGGAGAAACGTTAAACTTTTACTAAAACTAACATTTCAGAAAATTAAATTTATCGTCAATGTCCAGCACTGTATATACACCACATTTTCCAAACACACTAGAAAGGACTTACAAGTGCAAGATGTTTAGTATAAGAGCAATACCTTTTTTTTAACAAATGTAACACAAGTGTACCAGTGTTTTTTGTTTTTTTTTTGCTTTGTTTAGTATTAAAATTTTGTCTTGTACAGCCCATTTTGCATGTATGTAAATATAGGTTATGGTTTCCTCTGTTAAATCACTTTGCAATAAAACGCTGTCTACATAAAACAACTTCAAATATGACAATGCATGTATTGTCTTTGATTGAAATGGTGTGGATAAATGACATTGAAGCCAACCAGAGAGAAGACAAATAAAATAAAAAAAGAGATCTCTTTAACATTTCAAATATTTCTCCTAGACAGAAATTAGGTTACCTTAAGATTGAATGGAAATTGAATGGAAAGATCTCTTTTAAAGCTTTAAAGGAGACCATTGTGAGAGTGTTAGAGTTTTTGTCTCAGGAGACAAGTTTGAGAAGCAGGAGATTCAAGCAAAAATCTCCACTCGATCTTAAAGTAACCTCATTTCTGTCTAGGAGAAATATTTGAGATGTTAAAGAGATCTCACTTTTGATTTTTCTTTCCTATGGGTTGTCTTTGTGTGTATGACCCTGTGCACTGTCTGTATACAGTATGAGTACTGTCCATGTTTTATGCAAAAGCCTCTTATGATGAACTCTAATTCATTGTTTTTTTTACCACCTGCATTAATAAAGTGATTATTAGTACATTTTACAGTAAAAAGCTTTTGATAATTCAAGAAGATTTAGATAGTTCAAGTAGAATTGGTATATTAACATTACATCACTTGGTCTAATATACGGTTAAAAGTTTTAAAATATATAGGCACCAATATGCCATCCCGTAAATCTGAAACATTTCCACAGTATAGTGAGAGAGACAGAGAGTACTCACAATCACAGTAATCCTGAACAAAGATTCTCAGAGCCATTGCGTGCTTATATCCACAATGGCTGCCTTGATGACATTCAAAGAAAAGCTCATGGCTAAACACTGCTTGAATTCAAATCTGACGAATAGGCATGTAGAATAAGAACATCTCCACAAAGCCGATACATGTGTGCTGCATACTGTACTGCAACATGTACTCGTGCCTTCCTCTATAGCACCAGCAGCCGTGAAAAAACTATCAGAGGAATAAATCATAGGAACAAATAAATAAGTGAGGGGGTCTGAAAAAGGAAGTTTTCTATGTATTCACTCACTCATCATTAACTGCGCTATCGTTTACATTGATTGGCCAATGATATGTAAACAATCAGTTGCATAATTTTGATCCTTTGACTTGTTCACACTGACCACCAGTTGTGTCTTTTCTTAACATTTGGGTTTATCAGAAACATAAAATGCTTCCCATGACATCAGGGTTAGGCATGTATTCATGTAATTCCATCAACCAATTAGCACTGTCCTGACATAATTTCCTGCGACTTCAGATATTACTGACATGGCACTTCATGGCATTAATAAATACTATAATATTTTATAAATAATACTTTTATTTATATTACTATTACAGTATTTGTAATCTTTTTTTTAAGTTTTGGTAATTTTGTTATGTACTTGTGTCATTTCTATTATTTGTATATATTTATATTTATTTATCTTTTAATTAAATTTTGGTTGCAGTAATTTACGTACTTAAACTTTTTGCTGTTTATTGCAGTTAGTTGACAAGGCAACATTCCTAATTTAGGTATCTAATATTTACATTTTATTACTGCTTTATTTCAATTACCTTTCTGCAATCCCCACACAATACAGACTCTGTTGTGACATCTATAAACTCAAATCGCTAAAAACGCACAGGGCTGCTTGACAAAAGGAACGCCACAGTTGACATTTTTTTTATCACAGTGCAATAATCCCTGCACCCGGGATCAGTAATTGAGTTTGCTCTCTATACCTGATAATCTGACATGCTCATCCCACAGTTTTACACTGTCTCTCTCATTTCTGACACTCATAGACTGTTGATGCTTTACGGCTGAACTTACTTGATGTAGTATGGCACTTTGTTGGGGGATATGGCACGTTCCCAAGGAATCTGGACAGAGCCTGGAGTGACAGAGAAAGAAAGAGGGCAATATCAATAAGACAGACATGTCAAGCATGAAAAGCTATTCTGAAAATCTCAAACGGCACCGCTCAAGGTCCTTCAAGCATACTGCTTCCACACGGAGAGGCTATTAAACAACAGCACCTCAAAAGTGTTCAAAATGTTAGAAAGCTTTTCTGTGAGTGGAGCTTTGCAAACCTCTTTATACGGAACCCCTAAGGTCAAACGCTCCTGTGCTATGAGATACAAATGGTGAAAACTGAGAACTATATGGTCACTGAGGTCATTCTGGACTCCGTTTAGAGGGCTTCAGCACTCCTGTCTTCCTTCTCAGCTGCTTTTACAATCTGAAATGAATTAGGTGTCAGCATTCTTTAAATATTTGATTTATGTAAAATTACACTGAGTATTATCCATCCCACTAGTCAGTCCAAGTCTTACCAAAGGGGTAAGCGAGAGAACAGGGCACCACCTCTGCACATAACTAAGTACACTATACTATTTTATTTCTCTATCCTAACTAACTCTCTGTTCCAGTGAAATCACAAAATGAAGTGCCACAAAATAAACCAGTAATACTGAGCTACTGACAAACAGGTGCCATTTTAAATTGATTTTGATTATTAAAAAATTATTGGCAGTCGAGCAAGATTTAATCTGGCTAAAACAACAAATAATCCTCTGAGCCTCATTCAGATAAGGGGCTGAGCTAAAGGCTAATAAGAGAAATAATCTAACTATGCACTCAGTTTTTGGTTTTGCTAACTTTTATCTGGTTAAAGTTTTTGGATAAAGCATATGCTAGGATTTTACATATCTTTTGAGTGATATTTCTCTATAGTGCTTTTCATGTATTTATGTGTAAACCCTATTTTAATAAACAAAAAAGGACTGAATGAAGCTTTAAAATTCAGTTGTGAGTATTTAAGCGAGCCTCGTTCATAACTGAGGGTCAAATCTTTGCCCAGACCGTGTCCAAATGCTCCACGATAAGACCAAGTCCACTTCTTGGAATGTCACTTGAAAGTGCCATTCCCTGTGTCCTCGTTTAACGTAGTAAATGTAGTACTGATTTGTAGTGAATTAGAGAGCCAGAAAAGTTTGGACAACTTCTAAATTAGGCTAAGTGTGTAGCAGGCACTGTCTTTGTCCTGCAATATTAGACCGGGCAGTGAGTGACAGCGAGAATAAATAAAGTCACAGCCCACTCTGCCCACTTAAACACAGTCCTGCCAACCCCTCTCTGCTAAGCTCCATCAGCCCACCCCTCTCCCGGTGCTCAGCATCACACTCCGGCAGAAGACTCTACGGCTTCAAATGAGTTACCACACTTACTGGAAAGAAAGTGCTGTGATCCGGGGCCAAAATCTCTGTGGGCATCTTGCAACTGTTTCAGACGTTCTTCAATAGACCCCTTGAGTGAAGAAAGAGAAACAGTCAGACTCAAGAATGGATTACTTTACACACTAAATCAAAGTTCTCTGATAAGTAATGGAGTAGTTCACCCAAAAAACTGAATGCCATATGGGTTTGTAACACCATGTCGGTGAGTACAGTAAGTTACAGTAAGCTATTTTCATTTCTGCAGGGTTTCTTTAGGTTTTGTTACAAATGGACCAGTGTAGCAGTCTGCTTTCATCTGGGGTCATATTTCAGCAAATATACAGTTATTTGCATGTCATTAATTAATAAGGATATCATATTATTAATTAATTAAATATAATATATTATTTAATATACATTAATTTTAAATTTGTGATTCCATTAAAACCCTATCAAACATGCAGAAAAATGTGCGCATTAAAACCCAAGGATTCATCAACAGAGCATTTCTCATGACATTCATACTACAAAGACAAAGAGATATGATCACGCACACTTGTGCTGTTTGTCTTCTGTCACATTAGGTCACACAAATTGCTGCAGATATGCATTTCATAGTCATTTTTCGATAACTGGATTTACACACTCCCCCACACTCAAGAGTACTTTTCATTCTTCCTGCATTTCTTTCTGGCTCTCTTAAGCTCATCTCACACATAAAACAACCAGATGCAATCGAAACACTCAATTTCATTTTACATCTCGCCGGAAAGGCCTTTGTTTTCCCATGAGCATGTAGACAAAAGGCACTCCCCATGACCGATGATAATGGAGCCATCACCGCTCTCAGCCAGGCAGGACCGGCGTATTATATTCCATCTCCTAAGCTAAGATTTTTCATAGTGTATATGCACTAACTTAGCTGGCTGGAGCCATTGCCGTCAATGGTGACCATTGCACTGTATGATCTCCATAGGGGTCCATTAGTGATGGTGGGCAGGTTAAGGATGAGATAAAGATGGTGTGAATTCACTACCTGCAGAAGTTTCCATCTGTTGTTGAGGTGCTCCAGAGCTCTGGCGTTCTCCATGGACAAGTGCACATCAGATATGGCCAGCTGGTGGGCCAGGTCATTTATGTGTTTCATTCCTTCCTTCACCTGGGTCAGCTCTTCTTTAAATAGCTACAACAGAAAGCAAAAAAGAGATGGATGATCAACACCACATAATCTTTTCACTTCATGCCATGAATTCCTTACATGGACTTTCCATCTGATTTCTGGGTGCACTGTGCATTGTTATATTTGTTGAGTGTTACAACTATGTCTGTTCTGATTTAAAGCAATAAAACGTCCTGATATTGACAGGCTGAGCATAGGGTGGATATTTTAATGTTTAAAGAGATTTTTTTTTATCCATTCACAGCCTACACTTGTCCATTTTCATTTCATCCACCACCGCTGTTCGCTTCCTTCCACACACTTACACTGAGGTGCCACACTGGGCATAAGTGAAAGAGAGACCCAATCTGTCGATGGCAGAGAGTGAAACTGCACCAAATGTGTGTATGTGTAAGTGTGAAAAGACTCAATGTGTGTGACAGCAAACTGGTCGCAAGAGAATTTTTTAAAAGTGCAGGGAGAAATATTTTTGTAAGTGAAAAGTTGAACTGAAGTTTGGCACTCCAAGGCTGCATTTGTTTGATAAAAAAAACAGTAATATTGCGAAATATTATTACAATTTCAAATAACTGTTTTCTATTTTAATATACTTTAAAATATAATTTATTACTGTAATGGCAAAGCTGATTTTTCAGCAGCCATTATTTTAGTCTTCAGTGTCACATGATCCCTCAGAAATCATTCTAATATGAAGAATATTCGAAAGAAAACAGTTCTGAGTAGCTGATTAATGCGGATTCATATTTTTGTGGAAACCGTGATACATTTTTCCAAGGATTCTTTGATGACCAGAAAGTTAAAAAATTTAAATATGTATTTACTGTCACTTTTGGTCAATTTAATGTTCATTAATTTATTCATTTATTTAAAAAAAAAAATAGATTATTTAAAAAATGTGTTGTTTTTTTCAGGAATAAATAAAAAGAACCCCACCGTATACATGGGGTCCCAGGCAAGAGGTAACTGTAGGAGCAGTAGGACAGCAGGAGCCTTGATCTTATGGCCTGTTCATACACTTGACATGCAGCCAGGAAAACGAATGAGAAACTGTAAGTCTGCAAGACCTGCCATGTGCTTGCCGGTTTTGACAGCAGGGGAAACATTGATAAATGCTCCACCTCCTGTCAGAGCGTAACACGAACATGTCAGTTCACGGAGTCTGGCTTCAGCCTGAATTAAAAACTCAACATATTGCATCAGGGTACAGCTCTAGGCAGAAAAACTGGTTAATTATTTAATTACACAATTACACATGTACTGTACTGTGCTGTGCTATTCACAAAAAAGTACATTACATCACAAAAAACATGTTTACATTAATAAAAAAACAGAAATATAATTTCCACACATAAGGAAGCCTTTTGAGATCCGGACAGCAGAACAGAAACTCTGACTCACTGATGCACAAGGTATTACTGTAAATAGATACCTACACTGTTCCATATCTATAATAACTCTGCTTATCTCCACAGGAACAACCATGATCATATCGTCAATAAAAAGACCTCCTACTGCACAGCTGTAGGAGTCTGGGTCTGTACATCATCGCTGGTAGATTACGAAGGGAAACATTAGGGAGATACGTTTCGGAATAGCATGGTAGATTACAGGATAACATATTCAGATGCCTCATCTTTCAGTCCTTTTATTGTTGTGACACTAATCTCTCTGTTTTATTATAGTCAAATGACTGAGTGCAGTATCTTAAGGGCAAAACTAATAGCAGCATACAGCCGAGTGAGCTGTACTATTATCAGAAAACCCTAAAACACACAGGCTGGAAACCGTACAAAGAAGATCCAGAAAGTAAATGGTGGTCAAGATATAAAAATGCCACTGGACATATTATGGCCGTTAGGATGGCTTAGAGGACAACTGGTATGCACCTGCCCAACTTTCAGGATCTCCAGACTTAAGAAATGAGCAGGTAACGTCATCACAGGCCCTTCTCACCTACGATACAGTCTGAATCTTCTGTTCTGCCCTCAGGCAGATGCTACAGATCGTTGTGCACTACAACATCCAGCCACGAGAAAGGTTTTTTTCCACAGGCCACAAGCTAGCATATCCACTACTTCGTACCTGTTTTTGTATTTCAGTGTACTTGTGGTTTTTTATGCCATCTGGGCATTAGGCAATAGATGCTTATTATGCAGATTTTGATATTTATACAGCATATACTGTACATAAGTATGTAGAGCTCTGAGAAACCATAAATTCCTTGTGGGTTTTTGCAAACTTTTTGGCGATTAAAGCTCATTCTGATTCCTTTTGATTCTGAAATAAAATAAAATAAATTAACGTAATATAATAAAATAATAAATTAATAATTTAAAGCATTTAATTAAAAACAAATAGAAATATCTGACAAAATTAATAAATAAAAACAAAATAATAAATAAAATAACATTTAAAAATAAAAGTGTAATGAAAAAGAGTGAACAAAAACCTTTCAAAACTGAAAAAATAATAAAACCCCCAAATCTGCCCTCAGGCAGATGCTACAGATCGTTGTGCACTACAACATCCAGCCACGAGAAAGGTTTTTTTCCACAGGCCACAAGCTAGCATATCCACTACTTCGTACCTGTTTTTGTATTTCAGTGTACTTGTGGTTTTTTATGCCATCTGGGCATTAGGCAATAGATGCTTATTATGCAGATTTTGATATTTATACAGCATATACTGTACATAAGTATGTAGAGCTCTGAGAAACCATAAATTCCTTGTGGGTTTTTGCAAACTTTTTGGCGATTAAAGCTCATTCTGATTCCTTTTGATTCTGAAATAAAATAAAATAAATTAACGTAATATAATAAAATAATAAATTAATAATTTAAAGCATTTAATTAAAAACAAATAGAAATATCTGACAAAATTAATAAATAAAAACAAAATAATAAATAAAATAACATTTAAAAATAAATGTGTAATGAAAAAGAGTGAACAAAAACCTTTCAAAACTGAAAAAATAATAACCCCCCCCAAAAAAACAACAATCTATTTGATTCAAACACATTCACATCAGGAGCAAATCACATCACACATTCACAGTACATCTAATTTAAAGTCTGAAAAAAAAATCACTTGCTTAAACCCTACAGCGAAATGAAGTGAGAGAAAAAGTAAAAGACCTTCTATGCCATTAAAGAACTGTGCCCTGTGGAGAGTCTCATTACAATCTGGCTGAAAATCTTAATAAAAAATCTTAGAATTAGTAACTGAGCAAGCTGTGAGGTCCACTAACAAATGAAAAAATATCTAAAGTCCATCAGAACGCCTCACATAATACATCAACATCTGGCCACAAAAATACATTTATAAAAATATAAATGCACACTGAACCTCTTCATCCTTATCTATTTAAACAGCACATCTAAAAGTAAATTTGGTACATGGATCACAGGGTCTCAGCAGCCACCCATACAAAAGTCAAAATCAAGTCAAAATCACTTTTTTAATACTTAAATATGCCTACCAATGCAAGATGTAATACTGCACTTTTGGGTATTTTATAAAGTTTTATTCACTACTACCAAAATAGATCTAATTCAATTAATAGTTGTTACAACAACAATACTGTTGCAATGATACCTGTCTGTAACAATAGAACTGGTATGTGCACTGTGATTTAACATCACATAATGTTGTGTAAACTCTAATGCACCCTGAATAATCCTGAAAGTCCGCCTACTCACATCAATCAACCATTGTGCCTATATTATGTTGAAACTTGACGTTTATGTTGACGGTTCCGTGCAGCTTTAAAAAATAAATAAATAAAATAATTGGTACACATACACGCAGGTGACTTTACAGAACCTCCTGTCACGCAGTGACACAGATCATATGAATTACGCCAAGCATGACTAAAATAACCTTGACAATTCTACTCAAAACATCACATATGTAGGGAGACTCAGATATATCTGGAAGCTACCACAAGGATCTGTCCTAGGTCCTCTGCTATTTTCAATATACCTGATCAAATGCACATTATTATTCTTTAGCTTGGGTTAAACAAATAAATTTTGCTTGTTTGGAACAGCAGCTACGCTAATTATGTCTCTATTTGTTTCCCTGTTTCTACCACGGGATTGACATCCCGTGTAACTAGGATTTACACAAGCTTCAGTCTGGATCCAGAACACCTGAGAAGAGATGATGGCAACCCCTCAGAGGACCTCAGATGATGCCAACCCTGAAACAACATACCAGAACTACCAAATTTTGCTCTAAGTTTGATTGCATCATATAATAATTGCTGTTAATAGTGTTCAACGTCTGTTTGATTACGTCTTTAATTGATTTTTCTGCACATTTCTGCCATATGTACATTAACTGACAGTCACCACTGATAAGCTACCACTAAATATTGTAGAAACTTAATTTGCTGTAAAGTTGCTTTGCAACGATTTGTATCGTGAAAAGCGCTATACAAATAAACTTGAATTGAATTGAAGCTGACTTTTTTTTGCTCTGTTATGCTTTGTGCATGCAGTAACACACTGAAGTAGTAACTGATGTATGCAGTTACTAAATCAGACACCATCCCCTTTAAAATCCAATCACAAAAGTGTAAACAGCGATTTGTCTGCATTAATCACTTGTGATCAGGTCACCGAAGACGTATTACCTTGGTAGCGTCTATATGGTCCTGCAGCGAATCAATAAACAGGTCTCCCACAGGCTCCCAGGCGTCCCTTACTCCCTCCGCCTGCTCCAGAGCCACAGCCAGCTCCTCCATGGCGGCCTGGATCTGCAGCAGCCTCTCCAGGGTTCGCTCCATGTGCCGGTGTCGGTCCATGCAGCGCGCCGTCAACTTCTCCCACAGGTCACTGGCCACATTGGCCTGCTTCCATACGGAGCGACTTACATTCAGCATTCGCCGGCGAGGAGAGCCTTCTGTGACGGAGAGGAGGGGAAGAATAGGGAGTAACAGAGAGGCTATGAGCTAACAGAGTGAAAACAACAGCCCTGATCTCTCCATTATTAATTGCTCCATATGACACAGACACACTCATGATGACATGTGGATGCAGAATTGGGCTGATGTCCTACATGTGAGGAGGCAAATTCTCATCAGGCATTGTAATTTCTATGCACCTGTGCTGGGTTAATGTGGATTATAATACGGACTTAATAGAGCTGCCCGTCAATGTCTAGGTATCCATTCGCATATTTTTTATGCAATTTTGGGATATTGCATTAAAAAAAGGTGAAGGGGAAACACCAAGGTGTGCATCTATTGTCATAAGAATATTGCAAAAAAGTATTTTGTCTAATTTTCCAGTTAAAATATTAAAAAATAAATTTACTTGCAAGGCGTAACTGCGTAAAAAATGACCTAAGATTTTTTTCACTTGTTTTAAGTATAAATAAGCTAAAAACGAGAGGATTTTTAAAGTTAAAAATAAGAAAAAACACACATTCAAGATGAATCTATGACAACAAACCTTAATATCTAATGTGGTGTTGCTTATTGAGTTATTTTATTCAGTTTTAAGTAGTGCTGTCAAATGATTAATCGCGATTAATCGCATTCAAAATACGTTTTTTTAATAAATACAAACACATGCATGTATATATTTAAGAAAAATATGTTATGTTTATATATTAAATATATTTATATATAAAACATAAGAATATAAATATATAAATGTATATACATGCAAATATTTTCAAAATATATACTGTATGTGTGTGTATTTATATATACATAATAAATATACACAGTACACATACATATATTATGTAAACAAAACTTTTATTTTGGATGTGATTAATCGCGATTAATCGTTTGACAGCACTAGTTTTAAGAAACTTGATATATTTTCACTGAAAAATTATCCTGAAAAAGACTAATTAAAATGTATTCATTAAAACAAATCTAAATTCATTAAAACTCATTAAGAGTAGTTTTTTTTGGCACTGTACTATTTACCTTCTAGAACTGTCTGACATGCTATTGCCCAGACATAAGGCATCTGTTTCCAATCACAAGCACTTATTTGGAAATTGTTTTAGCAGGATTCTTATTTTACCCCATGAATCAAACTTTAATGAAAAATGTATCTGAATGGAAACATTGCTAGTGGCAATCACATAATGTTACGAAGGGAAACCCCCTTGTTTGTGAGACAATCACCTTAGCCCTAAATATCATGTGACTAATTATTCTGGAGCCACAGGACCACAATGTCATGACGCTTAGTTAAATGTATCAAAACGGTTCATTAACCACCTTTCATCACTAGGGAACAAACCTTTGCCATCAGGCAATGTCTCCTCAGGCTCCTGGAAGGGGTGTTGTGCCAGGAAGGTCTGAGCTGATTCCAACACCGAGTAGATGTAGGGCCCTCTGGATTTGACATCTTCCATGAAAGCCTGCACACAACAACATATGTTTACTAGTGCGTCATGCTGACATGATCAAACATCACAGCAGAGGCATAAACATGAAAGCAGCCTCACTGACACACATGAACTAGCTCACAGACACGGTATTGGAGCCCCACAACATCCATCAACCTCTGAGGGTGTCAATCTACTGAACTAAATTCAGTTTTCCAGCTTTACCTGGGTAGATATTGACAGATTACCATTAAAAGGATTTTTCACCCAAAAAATGGAATTTCTGGCATTCATACCTCATGTTGTTCCAAATCTGTATGAATTTCTTTCTTCTGTCCATACATAAAGATATTAACTGTTTGTGTCCATACAATGGAAATCAATGGGGTCCAAAACTACACTGGACCCAATTGAGACATCATCTTCTGTATTCCACAAAAGTCAGAAAATCATACAGGTTTGGAACGATGTGGTTGAGTAAATTACGTCAGAATTCCTTTAAGGCTCTTCTAAATACCCGTTAGACCTCTTTTTTAACATCTAGGGTCCAACAGAAATCAATTTGGGTTCCTAATGTACAGACATGCAGCTCAAACCAGACCTGAACTATGATGTATATCAATCATGGAGTAAATTCCCTACTTCTAGGCACCACCTACAGTTTTTTCACTAATCCCTAATAGTTACTAAGGCGACAGCTTCATTCATCCATCGTGCCATTTTAAATCTCATAGAAATATTACCCCCTCTTTTTAAAGTAATTTATTTGGATGATCCAACAGTTCAATCCGCTTATAGCATAAAGAGATTACTATTTATTTTATCTCCCATATTACCCACAGGAAATACCTAGTTTTACATTATTATGCCGATTATGGATATTACAAACATGGCTGTGCAACCGCATCTGGAGTCACCCCAGTAACACGTACCATATCCTTGAAACCTCTACCCAGCCATTTGCAAATTGAGTTAGCAACCAAGAAAGTGTCAACTGAAATCAAACAGTCAAAAGAAGAAATGTACTGCCGGGCAGCTGGAATCAAGAGGTCTTCTGAGGGGTCTTCGTGGAAATAGCAAGGCATGGGCAAGAGGGTATGCTTTCCTAAACTTTAATAGCAGCTAAACTTCATACTCAAGAGGTCCGCCTTTGGCTGAGCGAACAAAAATAAAGACTTAAGATCACTCATGTATTAATTATACATTTGTAGGGAAAGCCTCAAGAAATGGTTGTTTCTGTCTGGTGATGTCTCTGTTGTTTCTTCAGCTAAGTACTCTTAAGTAATGATGGTATCTACTTAGAGTTCAAAACTCAAGGGAAACGATTACAATTTCAGTCTATACTAGTATTAGGGCAAGCTTTAGTATATAGGCTACACAGTTTTTAAAGCAAACCCAATCTATTCAAATCTGTCAACAACCTCAGAAAAATTAGCACAGGGGAAGACAAAAAGTGTATGATATTAAAACACAGAGGAAGAAATCCACTAATGATCAATAATTTAAATTTCTTAAAATGCTGTAATTCTCGGCAGAGCAGCATATGTGATTTTGCTCTCTGCTTTGTCGGAGAAGTTTTAGGGCGATGTGGCACATTGGGAACGCGAACATTGTACATTGCAGCAGTGAATTGGAGGGAAAGAGAACAGTACGTGACAGATGGAATGATAGTACAAGGATAGGGGCGCATGCACATGCATATGTGCATCTACATACTACATAAGGAGCAAAAAGTGAGCAATAAAGGAGAAATAAGTGAGAGCCAAGAAACGGACAGTGAGATACAGGTCTGTTAATTTGGAGGCTGATTTCACAGTGTGTCAGTCACAGAAAGAAAGAGCTTGCTATCTCTCTCCCTTTCTCACACTCTCGCTCGATCTTTTCTCTCAGTATCCCTCTTTTTCCTGCTTTATTCAGCTGACAGCACTGGAAATTGGAGCTAAGACGGAAGCAGTATCCTGCAGTAGTACAGGGCCAATTACAAGGTGTGTGTTTATCTGGGAGAGTGAGTTTGTGTTTGTGTATTGGGAGAAAAAAACATGTTTGAATGCAGAACATAATGTGTTATGTGTACACAGGAGAGTGGTAAATATTTAATGGGATGGTTCACCTAAAAATGAAAATAAATCTGTCATCATTTACTCACCGTTATGTCTTTCCAAACCCGTATGACACAAAAATCTGATATCCACCCCAGCTCTGCTAGGTTCATGTAAGTTCATGAGAGAAGTAATGATGTGTGATCCGTGAATGAATCATTGCTTTAACTTGTTCATTGTTTCTGCTTAAATAAATACATAATGTTAACTACCCACATGATTTGTATAATCATCAAACGTAGCATTAGTTCTGGCAGGTCACGTTAGTCAAGCTCGCATCAGCTGACTCTCAGCTGATCCCCATCTACCTATGGGAATACGACACCTATCTAAGCATTCATATATAAGGTCCCTCAGTATTATCAGCAGTTTTCGCATTGCTCAATAGCTAATTAACCTCCTCCATCCCCAGCTCCTCCTCTGTCAGTCAGGATTCAGCCTTCTGATTATCCTTTGAATCAGACTAATTCTAAAATGTGTACATAAAATTATTGAACTTTAACGATATCTGCAATACATGTATGTTGGTTCTGTTCTGTTTACCCTGGGGGGGCTAATCGCTGCTCTCATCCATGCTAGGCTGCATGGATGCGCAGGGAGTTCTTGCCCAGAACAGAACCATACCACCAATCCAAACTGAATGCTAATTGTCAATCATCTTTGACGATAGTGGTCCTGACAGAATTAGAACTGTACATTTCTGCTATATGGACATATTTCACCTCAGGTAAAAGATTAATGGGACAGTTCACCCAAAAATAAAAATTCAAATGGACTATTGTAATGATGTCCTTACTACCTTTGGGCTTTAAACATGGTAGCTCAAAAATATCTTAATATGTGTTCCAAAGATGAACAAAGGTCTTGTAATGAACAAATTGTAATGTAGAAACATCCATTTCTGTAAAGTTTGTTTCTTTACAAAATTTTACAAAAAAATCATAAGAACCACTATAATATCTATACTTCTTTCCTAGTGCTTTTGTGTCTATTTTTTGAAGCTTTCATGCCCATTAATTTGTGTATTGTAGTCTTCCAAATGTCCCCATTTGTCTTCCAGTGTCAGAAAGAACGTTATACAAGATTGGAATGACTTGAGTAAAAGTCTTTTTAGGTGAACTATGCCTAAATTGGAGAGAAAAAAAAGTGTAAACATAAAAGTTGCATCTTAAGCCATTTATTGTGCATGCATCAGTTGGTGCCACTATTCTCTTTGTTCTATTTTCAGTGATCTTGCAAGCCTCTTTGTGGTTTATGAACAGACGGGGGTTCAGATTTCCAATTAACATGTTTCATTCAGGTCTACCTTTGCATCTTGATAATAGATTCAGAGGCTTTTTATTAGCTTACAGGTGGGTGGGCTCCAATCTTTAATGTCATTCTGTCTGAACTCCTGCTGCCATATTGCAGTCTTAAATATTGAATTGATTCTGTTATGTTGATAGATGACAAGATTAACCGTGTTCAGGAGCAAAGTCAGCAAGAGAAAAGATATGCTAATATGAGGAAATACGGCATGAGGAAGTGTGCATGTGTGTTAAGCCAACCTGGTGGAACTCCCGCTGGTGCTGCACCGCTCCCACATCACCACCTATGGGCAGCTGCTCGGACAGCTCCTCGTCTTTAGCTGTCAGCCATTCGATGATCTCCTGCAGGGACAGCTGGAGCTTCCCGCTGTTGTCCGAAAAGGCCTCCAGCCGTACCCTGCCAACACAGCAAACGACAGCCCGCCACAGGGCACAGACCCAGGGTCAAAACTTAGACAGCACTGAGATCACAGCACTGAAAAAACATCCAAATCTAGAGTCTCAGGACATACTGTTATGGAACCTTGTCACCATTTCAGTTTTATTATTTTTGAGGGTTTTGCAATGTTATTCTCTGATGAACAGGCCAACATAGTTAGACAACAGCATATGTTTTCGATGCTCCACAGGACTCCTATCTACAGTGTGAATACATTCAAATTTAACATATAATGTGTATTAAAATATTTATTAAAAAAATATAGCTATAAAGTAATATAAGTAAATAATATATAACATTAAAATATTGTTTTGGTTGGTTGGTTCCAGCAGGGGTTAACTGAACCATGCTAACTAACCTACATGCACTTGTACTTAGTTTCAACCTGCCTCCATCTCCTCCCTAGGAACGTCAAAAGAAGAGTTATGCATACCAAAGAGCATAACACATCTCCATGACATCCCAGCATGTAATGAAAGCACGTCTCAACCCATTGCCCTGCATTTACACATGGGATGAAATCTTACCTGTTTGCAGAAATCACATTTTCACAAGGCGATAAATAAAATATGAAGCCAGCCGTTTAACCACCTGCCCACATAGACTGGAATTGTTTTAGAGACAGGCTAGTTCTGTCAGCATCCCACCTGATGCTTCATAGAGGATTAAGAGAGAAGAACCTTGTGTTGCAATAACCCTCAGTGTCCCAGCATGCAGCAGACACTCACGCCTGCATTATTTTTAGACCATTATATGGCACTCAAGAGCACTGCCAAAGCCCAGGGAATGCAGGAAAGAAATAACTAAGACAAAGGGATTAAGCGTCACATTTTTTGTTAGGGAAAAAAATCTTTTAAAAAATACATTGTTTGCATGACTACTGAATCGCCACGTGACATTGTAAAAAAAATAACCAATGCATTGAAAAGCTAATGCTAATGAGGGCCGCATTAAGTCATGGGTGAAGTACGTACCATTTGGCTCAAGGCCATTCAGGTTGGTCACAAGATGGTTGTGCAATTTTACAAGACAACTGTAGGACATTCAACTATTTGTGTCACTACAGTGTTTTTTGTGTTTGAGATCATGAATTTATTTATATTTATATTAATTTAGATAAAAAGCTATATTTTTGGCTCATCTCAGCAATATTTTCCTGGGTCACTATTATGTTTTTTGGCTCCAGGTGTGCTTTGCATGGGTCTTATTGGGCTCTTTTTGTGCCATTCTCCCAAATAGGTTATAAGATGGGTTTCCATCCGCATATTTTTATGCTAATTTTGGAATAACACATAAAAATGTGTTAAAGAATCTTTCTATATGCTAAAAGGATATGTGCATAAAACTATCCTAGATGCACATAAAAAAAATCATGTTTTTTTCATTTGAGTGAATAATTTGCTCAAATAAATGTACACAACAGTGACGACTTTGTTCTATTGAATATGTGGGATGGAAACAGCTTTTTTTTTTCGCAGAAACTGAATTCGCAATTAGGATGGATCTTGTGTGAATGGTTCTCATCCAGAAGAACCAGCAAATTTCTAAGAGGACCGCATGTTGACTTAACATTTATATATATTTAAAATAAAATATTATAAATTAAAATATATAAATTAATATATATATAATTATTATTACTATATTCAAACAAATCTAACTTATCAAATAAATGTACACAACAGTGACGACTTTGTTCTATTGAATATGTGGGATGGAAACAGCTTTTTTTTTTCGCAGAAACTGAATTCGCAATTAGGATGGATCTTGTGTGAATGGTTCTCATCCAGAAGAACCAGCAAATTTCTAAGAGGACCGCATGTTGACTTAACATTTATATATATTTAAAATAAAATATTATAAATTAAAATAATATATATAATATATATATAATTATTATTACTATATTCAAACAAATCTAACTTAAAATGGTAAAAAAAAAAAGAAAGAAAAGAAAGGAAGAAACCATATAAACTTCTTTTTTCCTTCAATGACTTTTGTTTTAATAAGGAACACACAGTTCTGGAATCACAACTGCAGTTTGATAATTCACCTATATCTGCACTCTCAGTTTCTGGGATGTATAAAAAAAAAAAAAACGAGTAAAAAAGGTTCACTGCCTCATATGTGCAACTTGTAAGGTCCATAGCTACTGAGGTCTAAAGGAAATAATCAAAGATTTGGGCATTGTGTAGCCTAAGGATCTGGACCAGTACCCAAAAAGCTGCAGGTACAAACTCCAACAATCCTGAAATCTGTGAGCTGTCATCATTGTGCACTTCAGCAAGACCCCAGGTTGCATCAGCAGGACTGTCCGTGTAATATGGAGCCCCTTTGGATAAAAGCGTCTGTTAAATGACAAAGCAAAAAGACAGATTGTTGATTGTTGGCCTCAGTGTACCTTTACTCACAAATTGACCTCTGGTTCACACAGATTGTTTTGAGAGATGACTTTTTTCAACAGGGCTAGTTAAATGTAGCCTCCACTTAGTGATAATTGAAGAGACAGTGTCCACCGGGACATGCAAACACTAATGTGCTTGTTATTTTTAATCATTCGCAGATAGAGGCCAATTGTCAGGCAACCATGTACTCATTAGGACAACACAGCAAGATATAGAAAACTCATGCAAACATATTTTCTATTTAGTTTAAAGAATATTTTCCAGCAAAACAATGCCACCAAAGCCATCAAAACATGTAGTTTCAGTGCTTTGAAATTATATTCGCAGTAGAAACAAAAGAAATTGTTATTATATACTACATAATTAGAGAACAAGAGGAGGTACGATGAAAAGAGAGAAGCCAAATATGAGACCTGCTTCACCTGTTCGGACCTCTATTGTACTGAAGGAGGGTGGGCACAGCCCTCTCTATAATGATGTGTTATTAGACTCAATAAAGGCAGCCAGGCTGCAGACATTTCATTAGAGAGCCTGTGTGTTCTATAGTTGCCTGAAGGCTCCTTCATCATACAGACACAAACACAAACAAGCACACACACACCTCCTCCAATGCTACATAGCACACATATGCACACACGCATACAATCACAAAAGAATAGAACCCGAAGAAAATGCTACTCACCCAGCTGCTATACTATCAAAGGGTCACAGCTACAGTAAGCTGTAGATTTTTGTACTATTGACATCAAAAATCAAATGAAGCTCCTGTCTGTGTGAGCTTAATGAGTTCATGTAGTATTTCTACTCAGCGGTGATGGGTTGAACTTGCTTAGAAACGGAAAGGAGGAGTTCTTGAAAAGGCCTTTAGTCACACGGCTAGCCTTCAGCTATAACACTGTTTTTGATCCTCTATTACAGGCACATGTTTGCTTGTTGTAGCTTTGTAAATTGAAGTATGTTACAGATAAGTGTGTGTCAAGCACTGGTATAAAAAGTCATCAAACAATGTTAATAGGGCCGTTGTTGCTAGCAATGCCAAGGGTTTATTTATCCATGAATGCAAGTGCTATTGAATACATTGGGGTCTAAACTACATCAATTTGTGACATTGATCATGTGAACTCTTTCCACAGACTACAGACAGTGAGATGTTCTTCAGGTTTTACACAAGTTGTGGAGTTCATACAGGCGATTCATTAAAAAACAGAGACAAACCAAATACTTAGAGAATCTAAGATTCATGCTGAGCTGTTAATTCAATTTTTCACTCAAATTGTTAAGCTGATAGCACCATAATTTGTGATTTTAATTAGGGATGCACCGATACCGATACTGGTATCGGTATCGGGCCCGATACTGAGCTCCTGTACTCGTACTCATGCTCGTTAAAATGCCCCGATACCAAACGCCGATACCACACAGCATGTGATAAGCGCCATATTCAAACAAAGAAACACCGACAACAGAACAATAATAGACAGCAGAATGGAGTTAAGGATGTCTACTACGAAGTATATGTATGCAATGAATATAACGTTAAACATTCAGTATTAACGCCTGTATAGCTGATGTGCGCAAGCTGATAAACAAAGCACACTGAGTGGATTGAGCGCACGGCGGCGCAGATGCGCGAGCTTGTCGAGTGAATATATCTTTCTCACAGACATCACTGGAAAGTTTGTAGTTCGGGCGGATATGTAGAAAACAAGTAAGTAAAACAATGCACAAGTTACTTAACGGTAGGGAGAGAGAGAGAGAGAGAGAGAGAGAGCACGTGCACTTCTGTTGTGTGATCTTTGCATGCAATAAAATATTGGTATCGGTACTCGGTATCGGCAAGTACCAAAAATAAAAGTATCGGTATCGGGCGAGTACTGGAAAAAGTGGTATCGGTGCATCCCTAATTTTAATTAAATTAAAAAAAGAAAAAAAGAGAAAGAATAGAACCATATTACGAAAGCTTGTTTCCACCAAATAAAAAAGATAATTGACATAAAAGTAAAAAAAAGTTTAAAATAAGAAAATCACACTGTAAAATATGATGTCACAACTGTAAGACATACTCACAATGCGAGTTGGTGGTTGGTAAGGTCGGTATTTAAAATGTTTTTAAAGTGTTTTCTTATGCTGATCTGAACACAGTAATATTGTGACGTAATACAATTTAAAATACCTTTTTATTTTATATTTGCTACCTAATATTTTTGTGGAAAACATGATTTTTTTTCTGGATTCTCTGATCTGGTTTCTCTCTCAATAAAGTTATTCATCAAAAATCAGCATTTATTTGAAATAGTAAGGATATTTGCAATGCCTCTACAAATTTGACTAATTCAGAGCAGTTCCTGCATCCAGCGCTGTGAGTACAGGGGACACATCTGCCCCTTTATGCTCGCTAGGGTATGATCTGTCCTGTACAGTCAAGCCCCTGTGCTACTAATTCACTGATCCACAGCAAGACTGCAACACTTCACACCTGTGCCATGTTTGAGCATTGCACAGCATCTCTCTGCCTCGCTCTCCATCACAGATATAGCACATTACATCCAGTAA